GGGGGCGGAGGGGGAGGTGCCAACCCGGAAGAAGTGAGGGGAGCGCGGGGGTCGGAGCCGTGGCGTCACGCGGCGTCCCCGTCCCCGTCCCCGAGCTGAGAGGAGGCAGCGGCGGCGGCTGCGGGTCAGTCACGTGGCGGCTGCGTGCGGAGAAGGCGGCTCGCGCCCCTGCCCGCGCCTCGGGCGGCAGCGCGCGGCTGAGGGGCGGCCCGGCCGCTCCCCCCCCACCTCCAGCCCGGTGGTTTTACCTGCCGGGCCCGCGCTGCTCCCCGGTACGACGGCTCCGGGTTTTGCCGAGGGAAGCTGAGGTACCGGCGGCGGGGCTGAGGTCGCCGCAGCCTCTGGCGGAGTCCGCAACGTGTTGGGGGGGTTGGCAGCCGCCGCCGCCCTCGGCCGTGGCGGGCCGGGGGTGAACGGGGCGAGGAGGCGAAGGTCGAGGGCGGGCGGCTGGCGAAGGGACTTCCCGAGACGCGGTTGTTTCCCGCAGGCAAACGCCGCGGCGTATAGGTGGTATCCTCTTTTATTGTTATTTATTGAAACGCGTTATTTATTGAAACGCGTGATAAAGCAGGGGTCCGGCGTGTGTGCTGGAGGGAGAGTGGCGGATACAGTACGGGAGGATGATTGAAAAAAGGAAGTCTGGCAACTGTGTAAGCAATGCGTGTGAATCGATAAAGAGAACATACTGGTTTTTAGGGGACAGCTTGCCAGGTTGCCTGTATATGCTGCCTTATTTCACACGATCTGAAGTTTCTAGGTATGAGTTAGGCTTTTTAAAATTTATTTATTTGCTTACTTCTATCTAGCTGTTTGAATGAATTCTGCATTACCAAAGGTGCCATATTGCTTCCAGTCTCACAACTGAGGAATTAAGACCAGAAGTCAGGCACTGAAAACATCAGTCTCTGAGACTAATTAAGTACTAGATGTTAAAGGAGAGACTGCCGTGGTTTTAAATAAGTTTGCTGCAAAGATTCCATTTACAGCTTATGTGCTAATACACGTGCTTTACATTTTGGGCTCAGTAACTGTTGACTAATGCAACAACATGCCTCATCAGTAGTATAGGGATCAATATAATTCCAATTATTATTAACCTACTCAGTTTTAAAAGCTAGAATGAGCCTTCTCCATTTTTCTGATTAGAAATACGTTGTCTGCATAAAATTGGGGGAAAAAATAATCTACAAGTGCTTGAGTTCTGAATAGTGACAAACTTGCAGTTTGTGGTTCCTCAGCAGGAGGCACTGCAGGTGTGTACAGTATTGCGTCTGAATTAAGTTTTAGACTATTAGGTAACACACTTAGGTCAAAGCAGGTAACTCCTTTAGTGGTTATTTATAAGTGGTCATAACTGCATTTGGCGAAAGTTTTAATCCAGTCATTGGGTGCTTAGGATATGTCTTACTAGCTTAGCTAGCTAAGGTTTCCTGCTGTTTGGTGGCAGAGGATTGAATTGACAGGACTTCAGCTACTCATGTCAGAACATCCTAAGCAGATTTTTAGGCATTGTCTAAAGGGGTTGACTACTATAGGTAGTGTTTGAGGATTGTAATTTTAGAATTAGCTACCTGAAAGATTTTTTTTGTTTTTTAAGGTGTCTGCATTGGGGAGGAGAAATTGGATTCCCAACCAAACACAACTGCTGTCATGCAAACTTCGTTTGTGAGTCTGTAACAAAAAGATGGATCTGGGATCACATTCCACTCTAAACAGTAAGTAGTTTCCAGTCATTAAATTAAGATAATATAGAATTGTCTGCTAAGTGAAAAGGATTCACATTTATTACCAAAGGTGAAAAGGTGTCTGGTTCAATGATAGCCTGAGGCACTTAACTCCTCATAGGTGTATACCTTAAAGAATGAGATTTGCTTTTTTGAAAGACTGGAGTACTAAAGAGTGGTGCCAGTGTATAATGATGATTTTCTTAAAGCCTGAGGATCTTGAGACCAGTGATTGAGCATCTCAAGTGCCTTTTACACATTCATGTAAGCTTTTCACTCTCCTCCGGGTAAGCTAAAGTCTACAGATGTTATCAGAGATCTCAAAAGAGTCTTTAAAACTGCAGCTGAAATAACAAAAGAACACTGAATACTTTTAATATAGTTATTTGAGTAGCTATTTTGCGATCTTTAAAGGATTGGTAGTACTATTTAAATCTAGTTTCGACAATTGTTTACAAAAGTCTTCCTTTTTTTTTTGTTTTTTGAACACTCATCAAGATCTCTTGCATTTGTTCTCATTTCAGTTGCAGGGTATGGATGTGTTAGTTTACCAGGCTTCTCTTTCAGTAAGGTTGCCTAGGAACAGTTTTCCCCGTGAGCCTAATTAATTTTAATGGTGTCACCTTTACTGTCTGGCCAACTTTGTCTCTCACCAAAAATCAGCCCAATTCATGCCTTGGGGAAGAAACAAATATTTTACACCCTACCCCTCCCCCCCAGTAATAATTGAAAATGGTAAAATGCAATAATAAACCAGATAGGAATATAACTTCTGAAGACAGCATGTTACAATAGGATTTGTTTTGGTTGGTTTTTTTAAGTACAAGACAGTGCTATTCCAATTTTTTTAAATAATGTTTCATGCATAATTTTCGTCCTCTTGTGACTGACAGAGTTTGACCCAGCCCCACGCAAACCTTTAGCTTTGGCTGTAGCAGGAGGTGAGGCCAGGGCGGGCTGGGCTGCTCAGGGAGACAAAACACAGACCTGACCTCGGCATGACCGTCTGAGGGGTGCCCTGGGCCACCCCAGACTGTTTGCAAAGCAAGGCTCTGGACTGAAATTGAGCAAAAAGAGGTGAATTTGCTTGGGAATTGCATCGTTGGCAGTTGAAGTGGTCATATTAGGAAAATGCAGGACATGGACAGTCTCCTTCCATTAGTTTCCTGTTAGCATGGAAGGTTTTAAAAATGACATCAGAAGAGTATTTGTTATCATGTCATGCATAAATTATACATAAAAATACATCATTCTGAACAAACACATTTATATTGAATAGCGCTAAGTGTCATGTTGGAGTGTTAGCTTTATTGGCTTAAATTTGTAACTTAGCTTTTCCAGAGGGACCCCCGCCTTGCGGGAACAGCCATATACGTGCAAGAGCGTGGCGCGGTGCACCTGCAGCTACAGGTCTCTCTTGCGGGGTGTAGCTACAGCCTCGGTCCCCTTAAAGGAGCAGACAGTGCCAGGTGACTGTAGGGAGGCAATTGCAAGGGAGTATTGTCCATTCGAAACTGCCCGTTTCCGAGGGAGGCGCGGGGCCGTGCCTCCCACCTCCCCACCCCGTGCGTGTGCCTGCCGACTTATCAGCTCTGAATACATGAGGTTGCCAACGCGGCCCCCAAAGCCGGGCGACTGCCTCCCACCCGCGGTAGCCCGGCCGAGGCCGACCCTGGGCCGCGCTCCCCGGTCGCTATGGCGACCGGCGTGTCCAAGCCGCCAGGGGGCGCTGTCGGCCGCGCCCGGCCGCGACCATCGCGGCGCCGCGCGTGGGGGTGAAACTGAAAGTGAAGGGCTGAGGCCGTGTCGAGGCGGGACCGCCCTGCGCCCCGCCCCCCCCCGGGCCCCCGCCTGCCCCCGCGCCCGGCGCCGGCTCCCTCCCATGAGCGCTTGAGCCGCCCCGGCCTGAGCATGTCGGAGAGTTTCGACCGAGCTCCGGGTGCCGGCCGAGGCCGGGGCCGAGGAGGGGCCGCTCCCCTCGGCGGCGCGGGCGTGTCGGAGAGAGGCGGCGGGGCCCGCCCCGGGGGCAGCGGTTCCCACAGCTCAGGCTCGGGCGAGGAGCAGCAGCACCAAACGGGCGGCCTCTTCTCGCAGCAGGAACCATTGCGGCCTCCGAAGACGGCGCCGCTCGGCACCAGAATCTCAGGTACGGGCGCCCTCCCTGCCCCCTCGGGACGCCCCCCGTGTCGAAGGTGTCGGGGAGCGGCCCCCTGAAGCCTGCCGCTCTCCCCCCGTTTGCTCGCACCGCCCTGTTCCTGCTTCGGTTTTCTCCCCGACCCCTCCCCCCCCGTCCCACTGAGGCTGGAGCCGTGGGGCTTGCCCCCCACCTCCCTCCGCCGGGCCACGGGACGTGTATTTTCCCACCCCCGCAGGCAGGGGCGGAAAGGTCACCGCGCCCTCGGGGCTAGCTCTCTGCTCACCCCGGGCACCTACCTGCCCGGCTCCTCTCGGTACTGGACGGAGATGAGCCACGCAGGGGCACCTGCAGCTTTCCTCATGTTTCTGGGTTATGGACTGGTGCCCAGGTAAAGGCATGATATTGTATTGCAGTCACTCGCCACACCTCTCTCTCCGTTTCCCCCTTTTTGTGCCCTCACGTCTGTGTGTGCGTTTTATCCCTCGGTTAATCTGACCACAGATGGTCTCAGCCTTCCCATTATTGAAGAACTCCTGCCTAAAGATTGGCTAGAAAATAAACCCAACCCAACTGTAACACAAAGCGTTGTTTGTTGGTTAGCTTTTTCAGGTGGGTATTAGGTTCTGTTTTCAATAAATTTAGGAGCTAATCTAAATAATCTAATAAAGATACATTTGGAAAATGTGGAAAATATGCTTTTAAAAACAGTTCCATTGGTTTTTTTTGCAAGTATTGTACCAGAGCAGTGATGGCTAAGTGTCTTTGAGGATTATGTTAAAAATTATTGTTGTTAAAAATTGGTGATGTCTTCCATTTATTGATATTCAGAGTCTTGCGTTTGTATCTGAAGTTATGAAAAACCCAAAGATGAGCAAGCATACCATAAGCAGATTTACTAGTTTCTCAGGTTAGCTCTTTTAGCAAACATGTTTTCATGGGAGAGGAGAGAGGGCTTTTCTTTCCCTTTCTCTTCCTTTTTTTTTTTTGGTCACCTGCACCTGAACAACGTGTTTACGCTTTTTCATGTATAAAGGCATCTAGAGTTTGCTAAAGTGAAAACTTTATCCTTATTTAAGAAAAACAATATACTGGAAGTACTCTTGTAAGTATATTTATAGGAGAATTATATTTGAAGTCAAAAAATGAGATATTTTGTGTGTACTCTGTGTAAATGCATATTAACAAAACTTTTTCAGAACACCTGCAACAGACAGGAATTCCATCTGGATCACAAGATAAAGTGTCAGTTCCTGATTCTGGACCAGAAATGGCTGATCCTCAGGTGGCTGTAGCTCCTGTAGTAACATCAAAGTTGTCTGCTAAAGCACCTGAGTTTTATCCATCAGGATACAACCAGAACTTCAATCAGAACTTTGCAGTAAGTATTTATCTTCTTAACATATACCAGTTTACTTATATGCAATTTAATAATGGGCTTTTTTGATATCTTGTATGTCAGATAACTTTAATGCTGCATTTGCTGAAGAGATCTCAAAAACTCTGATGATAACCTCCAGAGTCGCAGTCAGAATGTTAAGTGATGATGCATGGACGTTATGGTGTACGTGAGAGCCCTTAATATGGGATATTTGGCTAAATCTTGTTGCAGATAATCAGCAAGGAATGTGGTTACACCAAGCATTGATTACAACGAGCATCAGAGTAAGCTGTCTTTTTGGGTACTGCCTCTGTTGTAGTTACATCTACACTGCGTTTTAAGTAAAGACTTAGCTGCACTTTTAAGGAGATTTCACAGGTTTTTGAAGCAAGTGCGGGAGAAAACTTAAACTTCAGGTTTTTTGAGCACAGGCTTTACCTTTCCTGAAGTTACTGTGCCATGAGTATGATTGGCCATGACTGCCTAACTCAGTATACCATCATGTGTCTTTTAATTCATTCAGTGGTATTGTATCACCAAAGGGAAAAAAAGTAGGGTTAGGCTAATTCCTAGCAGTTACCTGCCCGCATAGCTAATAAGTATATATGAAGCCAGACTAAGGGTGATCTCAGATAAATATTGTAGATGCATCATGTAATAAAAGTGGTTACTTCTTATTTTCCACTCCATTGTCTTCCATGTTATTGCTTTAGTAATTCTACTTCAGGGAAGATCTTTGTGAATCCTTGGAATATCCTTTTGTTATGCAAGCAGCCAAACTCTGGTACTATATATAAACAGGTGGGAACTATTACGTTTACAAATACAGTCAAGTGATTAAAAAAAAATACTAAAACAAATAGATTTTTAATAACTTAGAGAAAAATACTTGATTTGAATGCTAAATATGGAGGTTTGGTGTTTTGAAGTCTTTTCCTCACCAGTAAAATTGATGTTATCTTAATGTTGCCAGCTTTGCCAGTTCACTGAGTAGAATTACCACCCTGGTTAATACAAGCCCATAGCCAATATACAACTGTTAACAAGCCACCAACACAAACATGCTTCAGTGAATGGGTGATCTAGGGGAAAAATAACTACTGTGCCCCAGTACATGTTACATGTTTTCCATAAACAAGGGATTTCCATTTCAAGACCAAAAAAAATGCCATTTGGAATCACATACATAATGCATACTTATAATTACAAAGTTTTGAGGCCAGCAATGTTGCTTTTCAGCTGTTTTGCAAAAACACACAAGCATGTGGGAGTTCATGGTTGCTATGTTGTAGGAATATGCAATGAATGTGACTCATCTATTAATAACAGTGTCTTTTAAACTGCTAGCAAAGCCTAGAACATTTATTTGGAAGTATGTTGCAGGGACCTTAATCTAATCAAAATATACTAGGCATAGAATAGTGGTGTTTCAGACTGTCGTCCTCCACTATTACAAAGTTTGGGGTTATTTTTTGTTTTAATGACTGAATTAATTTCATACACTGGGCTCACTTTCAATGGAAATAAGAAATTTAGCACACTTTACTATTATGCATGTTTTGACTATGAGTTTTAAAACATTAATCAAAACAAAGTTTTGAGAAACTCATGTTTTTCTGACTTCAAATTTATACATTATAGTTTTCATTTATAAGGTACCCTGGAATTTTTAAATTTGAAAACTTGCATTTCTCTTATAAAATAAACAGTGGTTTTGCTATTAAGGATTTGTCATCTTAGAAAGAAAGTGTTCATTTCTTGCTTGATCATACATTATTGTATATATTATATATAAAAATTGATTATTAGATTGGGTAGTTTCCAGTTAGTTCTGATACTCAAAACTACCAGTTTTGATAGCCAAGGTGGTCAAGAAGTGATGGTGACGGCCAACATGGCTTCACCAAGGGCAGGTCATACCAGACCAATTCGGTAGCCTTCTATAATAGGGTTACAACATTGGTAGATAAGAGGAGAGCAACAGACATTGTTTACCTGGACTTATGCAAAGTGTTTGACACTGTCCTACATGACATCCTCGTCTCTAAATTGAAGAGACATGGATTTGATGGATGGACCACTCAGTCTATAAGGAATTGGCTAGGTGGCCGCGCTCAAAGGGTTGCAGTCAATGACTCAATGTCCAAGTGGAAGCCAGTGATGAGTGGTGTTCCTGAGGGGTCAGTACTGAGATAAGTGCTGCTTAACATCTTTGTTGGCGATGTGGACAGTGGGATTGACTGCAGTGTCAGCATGTTTGCCAGCAACACCAAGCTGTGTGGTACAGTGGACACGCTGGAGGGAAGGGATGCTATCCAGAGGGACCTGGACAAGCTTGGGAGGTGGGCCCATGCAAACCTCCTGGAGTTCCGTAAGGCCATGTGGAAGGTCCTGCACCTGCATCAATGCAATCTCAAACATGGACACAGGCTGGGGGATGACGGGATTGAGATCAGGAGAAGGAACTTGAGAAGGTACTGGTGAATGAGGAGCTGGACATGAGCCAGCAATGTGCACTCACAGCCCAGAAGGCCAACCGTATCCCAGGCTGCATCAAGAGAAGCATGGCTAGCAGGTCAAGGGAAGTGACTCTGCCACTCTACTTTGCTCTTGTGAAACCCCACTGGCGTCCAGCTCTGGATCCCCCAACATAAGGGGGACACAGACCTATTGGAGGGAGTCCAGAGGAGGGCCAAAAAAATGGTCAGGGGGCTGGAGCACCTCTCCTATGAAGACAGTCTGAGAGAGTTGGGGTTATTCAGCCTGGAGATGGCTCTGGGGACACCTCATAGCAGCCTTCCCATAGTTAAAGGAGACGTGCAGAAGAGATGGGGAGGGGCTCTTGATCAGGAAGTAGAGACATAGGACAAGGGGTAATGGTTCTAAACAGAAAGAGGGTAGATTCAGATTCGATATTAGGAAGAAATTCTTTTCTGTGAGGATGGTGAGACACTGGAACAGGTTGCCCAGGGAAGCTGTGTGGATGCCCCACCCCTGGAAATGTTGAAGGCCAGGTTGGATGAGGCTTTGAGCAACCTGGTTTAATGGAAGGTGTCCCTGCCCATGCCAGAGGAATTGGAAGTAGATGATCTTTAAGGTCCCTTCTAGCCCAAAGCATTCTATGAATTATAAGTCACTTCCTTAGCAGTCCCTCTTCAAGCTGCTGCTTGCACTTGAGATGCTTTTCACAGTGAATTATTTGTACTGTGTTATTAGTAATGAATCACAAAGCATGCTGCTTTCCTTGCTTTTCTCCTCCTGTAATAACATTATAGTCATTCAGAACAGTACTGACTTTAGATACTGTCACATACGTTCATTTCTGAATAGACAAAATTGGCAACTTTCTTCTCCATCAGCAGGAGCATAAGCATCGATAAAGTGGTATTGTGCTAGCTCATCCTTTCTTTAGGAGCAGGTGTGTTTACTGTCTGTTTTTTTTAAGCTCAGTAGCTGCAAATTAATGCAATGCTGTTTGAGTAGTTGCATTTCATGCCTTGTAATCTTTCACCCATTGCCAAGAGAAGCAAATTTGCTGACTTCAAAAGCTCAGTTTTCCTGATTGCACTTTCTACATGGGAACACTACACTGTATTTATTATATTTCTGTAATTTCTGCCCCTTCTGTGTATTCTGGAGCGCTATACACTCTATGTAAGCCCAAAATACTTTTTTCAAATTTTCAATTTTTTTTATTTTTTGCAGTTGCTATATCTGCAGCACAGGTTTTGTGCACATCAGGAATGGGTGTTGAGCCGCAGTTTGGTAGCTAATATTATTCTCAACAGATATCCTTACTTACTGGTTTGCTCATTAATCTTGCACCCAACTTGGCAAACTGTTTTATTTCTTTTTAATATATGTTTTGATGTGTTTTGCTGAAAGACGCTAATCTGTAAAAATGTTACCTAGATTTTAAGATGATAGGACTGTTGGCAGCTTTCTGATGCATTGAGGTCTACGCTCTCTTAAAATGTTTAAGTCTATTGTGTTAGATGGCTTCACCAAGGGCAGGTCATACCAGACCAATTCGGTAGCCTTCTATAATAGGGTTACAACATTGGTAGATAAGAGGAGAGCAACAGACATTGTTTACCTGGACTTATGCAAAGTGTTTGACACTGTCCTACATGACATCCTCGTCTCTAAATTGAAGAGACATGGATTTGATGGATGGACCACTCAGTCTATAAGGAATTGGCTAGGTGGCCGCGCTCAAAGGGTTGCAGTCAATGACTCAATGTCCAAGTGGAAGCCAGTGATGAGTGGTGTTCCTGAGGGGTCAGTACTGAGATAAGTGCTGCTTAACATCTTTGTTGGCGATGTGGACAGTGGGATTGACTGCAGTGTCAGCATGTTTGCCAGCAACACCAAGCTGTGTGGTACAGTGGACACGCTGGAGGGAAGGGATGCTATCCAGAGGGACCTGGACAAGCTTGGGAGGTGGGCCCATGCAAACCTCCTGGAGTTCCGTAAGGCCATGTGGAAGGTCCTGCACCTGCATCAATGCAATCTCAAACATGGACACAGGCTGGGGGATGACGGGATTGAGATCAGGAGAAGGAACTTGAGAAGGTACTGGTGAATGAGGAGCTGGACATGAGCCAGCAATGTGCACTCACAGCCCAGAAGGCCAACCGTATCCCAGGCTGCATCAAGAGAAGCATGGCTAGCAGGTCAAGGGAAGTGACTCTGCCACTCTACTTTGCTCTTGTGAAACCCCACTGGCGTCCAGCTCTGGATCCCCCAACATAAGGGGGACACAGACCTATTGGAGGGAGTCCAGAGGAGGGCCAAAAAAATGGTCAGGGGGCTGGAGCACCTCTCCTATGAAGACAGTCTGAGAGAGTTGGGGTTATTCAGCCTGGAGATGGCTCTGGGGACACCTCATAGCAGCCTTCCCATAGTTAAAGGAGACGTGCAGAAGAGATGGGGAGGGGCTCTTGATCAGGAAGTAGAGACATAGGACAAGGGGTAATGGTTCTAAACAGAAAGAGGGTAGATTCAGATTCGATATTAGGAAGAAATTCTTTTCTGTGAGGATGGTGAGACACTGGAACAGGTTGCCCAGGGAAGCTGTGTGGATGCCCCACCCCTGGAAATGTTGAAGGCCAGGTTGGATGAGGCTTTGAGCAACCTGGTTTAATGGAAGGTGTCCCTGCCCATGCCAGAGGAATTGGAAGTAGATGATCTTTAAGGTCCCTTCTAGCCCAAAGCATTCTATGAATTATAAGTCACTTCCTTAGCAGTCCCTCTTCAAGCTGCTGCTTGCACTTGAGATGCTTTTCACAGTGAATTATTTGTACTGTGTTATTAGTAATGAATCACAAAGCATGCTGCTTTCCTTGCTTTTCTCCTCCTGTAATAACATTATAGTCATTCAGAACAGTACTGACTTTAGATACTGTCACATACGTTCATTTCTGAATAGACAAAATTGGCAACTTTCTTCTCCATCAGCAGGAGCATAAGCATCGATAAAGTGGTATTGTGCTAGCTCATCCTTTCTTTAGGAGCAGGTGTGTTTACTGTCTGTTTTTTTTAAGCTCAGTAGCTGCAAATTAATGCAATGCTGTTTGAGTAGTTGCATTTCATGCCTTGTAATCTTTCACCCATTGCCAAGAGAAGCAAATTTGCTGACTTCAAAAGCTCAGTTTTCCTGATTGCACTTTCTACATGGGAACACTACACTGTATTTATTATATTTCTGTAATTTCTGCCCCTTCTGTGTATTCTGGAGCGCTATACACTCTATGTAAGCCCAAAATACTTTTTTCAAATTTTCAATTTTTTTTATTTTTTGCAGTTGCTATATCTGCAGCACAGGTTTTGTGCACATCAGGAATGGGTGTTGAGCCGCAGTTTGGTAGCTAATATTATTCTCAACAGATATCCTTACTTACTGGTTTGCTCATTAATCTTGCACCCAACTTGGCAAACTGTTTTATTTCTTTTTAATATATGTTTTGATGTGTTTTGCTGAAAGACGCTAATCTGTAAAAATGTTACCTAGATTTTAAGATGATAGGACTGTTGGCAGCTTTCTGATGCATTGAGGTCTACGCTCTCTTAAAATGTTTAAGTCTATTGTGTTAGACCACTATCAAGTGTGTAGAGACTCAAGACTAAGGGCTATATATATTTATGGTTACTTTTGGAGATAGTAAGTGTAGTAACATTGTTTTAGGTTCCTTTTAAATAGTTTGTATATTCTTTCACTGCTATAGGATTCTTCCTATGAAGATAGATACGACGGCTATCTGACTTTGGCAGAATATGTACAAGACTTCCTAAATCACCTCACCGAGCAACCTGGTTGCTTTGAAACTGAAATAGAGCAGTTTGCCGAAACACTGAATGGCTGGGTCACTGCAGATGAAGCTTTACAAGAACTTGTTGAACTCATCTATCAGCAGGTAGCTTGTGTATTCTGTCTTATAACACGGACATTATGCCTCTGTTACCTAGTGTGCATAGATGTGCATAGCAGTACTATTTGTTATGTAATTGTATCTACATAGTATTTGAATTGTTTGAATTTTTCTTTTTAGACTAAAACATACAGGGAAAGATTTTGCTCAATAAATTGAAATGCTAGCTCATGTGGATGGTTGATAAATTCCCCCAGTTTACCCTGTTTCCTTGGTTGTGTATTTGGATCTCCTGGGTCACATACTAAAGCTGAAATTACAGCACTTAAATAAAAGGAGTTATATTTGCATGGCTGTATTTATATAGTAGACATTGAAGAAACTCTTCAGCATTGTCAGAGTTAGACATTTTTATTCCATTCTGCAAAAAGAAATCTTCATAATATTTAGATACTTTTAGTTCCTTGGTATTTAAAAAAATTAAATTTATGCCTACTGTACACATCACCCTTTGGGAAATGCTCCTTTATTGACACGCTTTCTTCTTCATTTGTAATATAGCTATTTCAGAACAGCATAATTGGAGGAAAGGAAAGCTCGTCTAATGGTAACTAGGTCCAGTCCCATTGATGGCCATGGAAATGAGGACAGAGACCTTGAGCTGAACTCTGTACTAATTGGGGGAGCCATTGGAAAGAACAGCTTAATATGTGTTGCTTAGCAAATGAGCTGCTGTTACTGTCTTTTAGGCTTGCTGCAGAAAATGAAGTCACTCTTTGTATTTGCTATTTATTGCATTGGGTGTCTCTCACATTCCTGGGTTGGTTGCTCTCAAATTCCACCTTGAAGAATGAGAACTTTTACTCATCTTTTCAGTGAGATACTTGCAGAATATTTTATTCTGGGGTATGTAGAAGCTGCCTGACTGGTTGGTCATTGTACAGAACTGTAGAGTCTCAAGTTTCTTATTATCACACAGAATTGACGGGCATTTAATTCAGAACAGTTTAGTTAAGATTAATTAAAACATACTCTGCTGTGTTTGGCAGTGTCATTTTCCCATCCTCTATTTGAGTACATGGAGGATAGTTAAAAAAAGATTAACATATTCCATATAATTTATTGGAAGGAAAAAATGAGGAATTTAGCCCATTTTAAACTCCATGTATGTTAAATACATGGACTCTCGTTTAATGTAATTCTTTAATGTTGCCTCTTCCTCCCTCCCCCTATTTAAAAACAAGTCCAGTGTTAGGGTTAACTGTGCCTTCTTCAACTGAGAAACAGTGAGTGTTATCAGTCTGAAATGACGTGAAAAGTAAAAGTGAGTGTAAAAAAGGTGTGTTTGTATCCAAAAGCATCCAATTTTAGTTTTGTTGTATGTCAGGATAGGATAGTGTTTGAGTGTAAGTCAACTATGCTTATTATTCTTCTGTCTTGAGCAAAGGCTCAAGTATTTGTGTTTCCCAGCTTGTCACAAAACAACTAAAATTGCTGAAGTGTATTTATAAGCATCTGCTTCAGTGATGTTAATTTAACCCATCTGAGAAGGTTTAAAAAATGCTACGTTTCTGAAGGCAAAAGATTAAAAATGAAGGAAACCCAAGTCCTGTTTGGTCTTCCCTTCATCTATATGTCAGGTATTTTAGTCTGTCTATAAGAATTAATTTTGTACTTCCCCCTGTTCTTCCTAATCCATTTATGTCTTGGGACAGAGTGAAGGGCCAGTTCCCTTGTTTTCCAGAAGCTGAACACTGCATAGCTTAAGAATCTTGACTGTTGTATAGTTAATACCATGGATAGTCCCTGTTACAGCAACTAAAATATCTCAAGATATGTATTGATAGATTGGCCTTTGTGCTTAGGTTGTGACTTTTTTGAGTCAGATAAACGGGGATTACCAGCAACAATAATTCAGGGAGGATGACACTGCATTGTAATGATTGGTTTTTAAGAACATGTAAGGTGGGGTCTTTTTTGGTCTCTGTGTGCTGTGCCAGGTCATAATACCTTAAACTTAATTGTTTTGAATATCTGATGCAACTACAAATATAGACCAATTAAAGAGGAAAATAATGTTTAAAAAATACAGTTGAGGTTTTGTCAAACCAGGACAGGTTTAAAGAATTTGTGCTTGGTGGTTTGTTGGGGGTTTTTTTGGGAAAGAGAAGTATAATTTAAGTTGTGTATTTTGCCTTATAAAAAAGGGGGCACCTCTTCTAGTCTAAGCAACTGATAGAATGAAACCACTGAAAACCTCAGTAACTATTTTGCGTGCCTCTTACTGGAAACTAAATTCTATCTGACTACCTTAATTAGTTAACTTCTTGTGTCTTCCAAGGACACTTTAGTTTTTTCTAGTGACTTATGCACATAGTAGTTACACCAAAGGTCACTAGGTATAATGCATTGACATGCTAGTGGCAAGATGCTTTTTTCAAACATGTTAGAAACAGAAGTGTGCAAGCACATCTGTAGTGCTGATAGACAATCAAGATGTAAAAGGAATATTAAAAGATGATAAAGATACTAGAGAAGTTTAATGAATTCTTAGTATCCCTGTTTTCTTTTTGGCAGAGCTCATGAAGTTATTTACACTAGAACCTCTTTTCACTGAAGCTGTATCTGAGAAACAATGTCAAATTCAAGTGTTGTTAGAAGAGAGTTCAAAACAAGTGAACAGTAATAGATTGCCAAAATAAGGTGATGTTCTGCATTAAGTTCTCAGAGGTAGAATGTAGATAGTACGGAATTCCCAATTACCTTTTTCCATCTCTTGAAATTTTGAAGTATCAGATAAAAATGAAATATCAGTTAAAAAAATAGTTTTCAGAAAAAAAATATTCCATGTTGTGGAATTTCATTGCTACCACCTGGTTTTAGATGACAAAGCTTAAATGTTCAACACTAACAGGACTTGTTCTAGAAAAAAGTACTCATCAAGAGCTATTAACTGTAATGATGTGGTTTTAACCTCTGAATCAGGTGTTTGCTATTCTGCAGATAGCTGGAGCCATGTACGGGAGAAAGTATTTATCTTTACGTGTCATGTTCTTGTGTTCCTTCACTGGGCATTCACTATTGCCAAAAATAGATTCTGGGATAAGTAGCTCTTAGACTGAATGAAGGTGACTTTTATTTTATTTTATTTTAATATACTCATTGCTTCTTGAGAGAGTGCATGTCCTTGAAAAAGTGTCTTAAAGTCCACTGTTGATTTTTTTGTGTAAACAGTTTGTAAGTGACTTTCAGACACTCTGGTTGCAGGTAACAATGGAGAAGTAGAGTTGAGGGCACATGGCATAATAGTGGTTGTTTTCTTAAAGCCACAAAATCACAGCATAATGAACTTTTAAGTGCTGAAATGCATATAGGAAAGTGTTGATGAGATACAAAAATTAACATGATGAAGAGTAATTATTAATCTTCTGCTCTTCAGTTATCTAATCAACTGTTGTTAAACATGGTTTCAAAAAAGCTTTTCAAGATATTTCCCGATAGCTTAATTGTCAGTTCTGTGAATAATTTGTTTTTCTACTTTTATTTTGGAAGGCCACATCTGTCCCAAATTTTTCCTACATAGGAGCACGGTTGTGTAACTATCTGTCTCACCATCTAACCATTAGTCCACAAACTGGGAACTTCCGACAGTTGTTACTTCAAAGGTCAGTATCAGCATGTCATTTTAAGCTGGTTACTTTCTCAGGTTACATGTCTTCCTATTTTGTATGTAACTCTTAATGTCATGTGCAAAGAGGTATATATTAAAAATAGAAGTTTAAAGTGAGGATTATTAAAGCACATAATAGTTGGCAAATATATATTTTAAAATATTTTAATATTTTAAAATATGAAAATAGGACTCCATTTGGAGTTCTATAGGCTCTTTTGAACTGAGTATCTTTGATCCCAAATTACAGGGTAAATTTGAAAGCTAGTGAACTCTAAAAATATTCTAAATGCACATATATGTACTGTCCTTGTCCTTTGACTCTTACCAGGACTTACTTCATTGCAGTTTTTTCTTTAATTACTTTTCTGGCCAGAATTCGGTACAAAGTTTATTCAATGATTGGCTGACTGACTGTATATCTATGAAGTACGTGTGTAAAATGCAGAAGGATAGATTTCTACAATTTTAGTTATTACAGAATTCTGGGGTGTACAGTTTAATAATGGTTAGACTTTTTAGTGGGCAAAAATGCAACATCTTTTTAAATAGATATATTTCCTTTTAAATCTTACTGCATGACACTTGAATGAGTAGTACAATTCAATACTTCAGAATACTTCAGAAACTAGCCTTTTTCTCCTAAAGGACTTCTGGCTTTTTAAGCTTTGGGGTTGCTTCTTATTTTAAGTTTAACTTAGTCCATCTATGTTTAGAAGCAAAAGCATGATAAACTTTAACAGCAGTGCATTCTGATGACCTTTGATCAGGAGTGGTACCTTATGAAGAAGTGGAATTTTGTTTTTTTTTTTTACCTTATCCCAAAGCTGATGAGCCTTTTTGCCTTAAAAATTATCACTTTCACCTTCTGTTTTTTTAACTATGTTTGTTACTTGAACATAAAGGAAATTGCTGTTAAGGTTGGAATATCTGGTTACTGGTTATTAAAGCCAACGTAATAGATAACATTCAGTTTAGCACCCTAAAGCCATGAATTGAAAGTCGCTTATGTTTTTATTGTACAGTATGGATGGAATGGGAGCAAGAGGAGGAGGAGGATAAACAACCTAACAACATGACCACAGAGAGGTCCCCTTCTATTTCTCAGCCTGAGTTTCAACCTTAAACCTTGTATTTCAGCAACTTAGATTTTCCAGTTTCTCTGGTGTTTATTTTGAGAGTACCTTCCTTTTATCACAACTATTTTTTAATTCTGTTTCTGAACTGCTATGAAAATTTGGATATTTTTGGTACAACTGTTGAATACTAGAGAAATTACCTCATTGCCATGTAATCTTAATCCTATGTACACAGTTATATAATTTAAATATGAATACAGAGACTCATAGAATGCTTTGGGCTGGAAGGGACCTTAAAGATCATCTACTTCCAATTCCTCTGGCATGGGCAGGGACACCTTCCATTAAACCAGGTTGCTCAAAGCCTCATCCAACCTGGCCTTCAACATTTCCAGGGGTGGGGCATCCACACAGCTTCCCTGGGCAACCTGTTCCAGTGTCTCACCATCCTCACAGAAAAGAATTTCTTCCTAATATCGAATCTGAATCTACCCTCTTTCTGTTTAGAACCATTACCCCTTGTCCTATGTCTCTACTTCCTGATCAAGAGCCCCTCCCCATCTCTTCTGCACGTCTCCTTTAACTATGGGAAGGCTGCTATGAGGTGTCCCCAGAGCCATCTCCAGGCTGAATAACCCCAACTCTCTCAGACTGTCTTCATAGGAGAGGTGCTCCAGCCCCCTGACCATTTTTTTGGCCCTCCTCTGGACTCCCTCCAATAGGTCTGTGTCCCCCTTATGTTGGGGGATCCAGAGCTGGACGCCAGTGGGGTTTCACAAGAGCAAAGTAGAGTGGCAGAGTCACTTCCCTTGACCTGCTAGCCATGCTTCTCTTGATGCAGCCTGGGATACGGTTGGCCTTCTGGGCTGTGAGTGCACATTGCTGGCTCATGTCCAGCTCCTCATTCACCAGTACCTTCTCAAGTTCCTTCTCCTGATCTCAATCCCGTCATCCCCCAGCCTGTGTCCATGTTTGAGATTGCATTGATGCAGGTGCAGGACCTTCCACATGGCCTTACGGAACTCCAGGAGGTTTGCATGGGCCCACCTCCCAAGCTTGTCCAGGTCCCTCTGGATAGCATCCCTTCCCTCCAGCGTGTCCACTGTACCACACAGCTTGGTGTCATGAATCATGCATCACTGTCACTTAAAATGGTGATATAAAGAATTTATTGAATAGATGTAAAGGCATCTAAAACAATGTGGGCAGCACCCTGAAAGGGGCAACACGTCTTTCAGAGTGTATCTGCTTTATCTCCAGGGACATTTGGCTGTTTCTGTTAAACTTACTACCATTTCCAAATATTTAAATTGTGTAACTGTCTTTTAATTTTTACATGTTGTAATTTGCTTTTTTTCATTTTTCTTTCTCAGATATTTCAGTGCTTGAAAACGTAATCAAGTAATCATATGTATTCATCTCAAAGGACGCAAATACATGGTGTCTTTTGTGAAGTCCTCTCAGTTCTTTCACAAGTCATACTTCCCAGCATTCAGCATTTAACAGTTTTAATGCAGTTCATAAGTTATTAGCATTCTCTTAAGGAAGTAGGATGTTATGTATGTTGGCATGTCTACCAACAACATGATTTTGTTATAATGTTTACAGGTGTCAAACAGAGTATGAAAACAGAGATGAAGCTACCAAAGGAGATGAGGCTACTCGAAAACAGTTTCATGCCTTTGTGCTGTTCTTGGCTGAACTTTACCTTAACCTAGAGGTAAGAAGAAAGTTGCATGTCAGGTGGTTCTTCATTCATTTTTTGTTGTGTTTAGGTAGTCTCTGAAAGGGAATATAATTTGAGGTGTTTTTCTAAAGGGAGAGGACAATAAAGTTAAAAGAACTTTAGGACAATTTCATTGTAATATGCATCCAAGAAACAGATAAACAAGGACATGACCATTCAAAAAGAAGTGTATAAAGATTTAAAAAAAAAGTGTAAGAATTCATAAAAAGAATCAACCATAAACCACCTTTGGAATGAAGCTTTTGGTATTTTCTTTAGACTGGCAAAACCCCCAGATGACTACTACACTTAAACAGCACAGGAAATATTATGACCTAGCAGAAGCAGATCAGTATCAATAACCCATGTAATTCAGTATTCAGCCACTAATAGGACCCTTGAGGAAGATGTGGAAATCCTCAAAATGAGCAATTAAAAATGCAAACCCTTAAGAGAAATTTCTTCTGAAGGCTGAGTCCTTGGGTTATGCTTGAAGCATGAAATCTTGTATTTAGAGTTTTTTTTTGTATCTGTGATATGTACGAAAAAGTGTATGTATGCATAAAACTTCTTTGACTCTTAGCCTGTAAGTTCAGTAAGTTAACTAAGTGCTGTAGTATACTGCAAATATATTTTTGACTGGATTATTTCAATGGTTTGATTTAAGCAGACACTATGAAAATGCTCTGCTGGCACGAGTGCTAGAAGTGAAAAGAAAGATTTGCAAAGAGTTTGGGCAACAATGAGTTGTCCAATTCTGTGGAGTATACCATTTCATTTTACAACCATTTTCTATAATTTTTTAAATACATAAAGAATGTCTTCTAGAAGTAAGCCACTACAGCTATAGAGAATACTTAATGTAGTAAGGGAAGGAGCATGGGATTTGGGGAATTTGAGATTGTTGTGGACCACTTGCTAGGCATTTAGTAGCTTTTATTAGCAAAGAAACAAAATGCTAGACATACATTGTTACGTATACGTCAGAATTGTAAGGATATTATTAAAGTCATCAAAGTGTTTTAAAATAGTTGCAGTATTTGGCATGTTCTTCCAACTAAAGAGCTTAACTCTGTTGATCACAACCCAAATCATACAGCATTCAAGACAGAAAATGGGAATAAAATAATTTCTAAAACGTGTCTTTTAAATGTTTTTTTAATATTTATTTTGCAGATCAAAGGAACAAAGGGACAGGTAACGCGAGCAGATATTCTTCAAGAAGGCCTTCGGGAATTACTAAATGCGCTCTTCTCTAATCCTGTGGACAGTAATTTGATATGTGCAGTGAAACTGCTGAAGGTGAGACAGTAGTTTTAAAAGAAAGTTTTTTTTAGCCTTCCTACTTGTGGGAACAGTGGGGGAAACTGCAAACAAGGAAATGTTTATAGGGAGGTTTGCATTACGTCATGAGCAGAGCAGCATGTACCTTTTCCCCCTCCCCCTCCTTTACCATTATGAAATTGAGCCAACAAAAAAGTAATGCACTGCTCTTAAAAGTAAAATGTGATGCCATCTGTGTATATATAAGAGAAATGGAACTGAAATCAAGGTGCAAAGAAGTAAGCAAGTCCCTTCAGGTCTCCTTTTCCTGCTTCTGGTGTGGGAGAAAACTGTAACCAACTTGAATGAATTGTGGGGTTTTGGGTATGTTCTGTGCTCTGAAGGACACTGAGCACTTAGGGTCTACCACTTTCTGCAACAAAGGTTTCTTGATATCCCGTATTTCATACTGTATTGTCTGCATCATTACTAGTGTAGAAATATACATATATTTCCCTTTCATGAAACAAACCTCTTTGCTCTTAAATTTTACTTTTTCTTAAAAAAATTGTTAGCCTCTATGCAGAGAGAAACTTAATGGCTACACTTATATTTGGGAAAACACAGTTTATTTTACGAATGAACGTTAAAAGCTAAACCTTATTTTTCTGGAGTTTTGTTTCTGTTCTTTTGTGGTTGCTTGCTTTGGTTTTCCTCGTTCTTCCCTCTTCCTCCCACTCCGCTATTTTTCAGCCTCTTCTATCTTGACTTCCAATTCTAGCAGTTTCTTTTGATTTGGTGAATAGGGAACAGAGGTTTTACATCTTCCAATTTAAGCCGTTTATTTGAAGTTTGAATGTTTAGGCAGTTTGCTTCATAGCACATGTGAGGTTGGGTTCATCAAGCACACCATCTCCTGTGGTAGTCCTTGTGTTGGCAGTGCTTCCCTGAGGAAGGGCCTTTCAAAAGGGCAGTACACAAATCAGGGAGCTTTCCAGTGCTGCTGGTTTTTTTTATAATCGTTCTCCAGAGAAGATGTAGGATGTCTCACTTTCTGTGGATATTCTTGGAATATTTATTTGGCTTCACAGTATCCATTCTAAAATAAAAGACAGTGTTCTAAGTTATTTTATGAGACGCTGCTAAATCTAAAAGGTGTTACAGAACAGAGTTGTGGTTTTTTTAATGCAAACGTTTTCTGATATATTACGGTATTTACATATGTTGGAGTACGTCTGTAGCTAGATTGGGCTACATCATGAAACCTTGGTTTCACTACTGAAGCAGTAAGTGTTTGCTGTTGTCTTTTCCATTTAATACAGTGATAGAGGTTTTTCACTTGTTTGCTTTGCAACATGTTTATTTTTAATTAAACCTTCTTGGTGCTCTTATCTAATTAACTAGGATCAAGGTAGGACCACAGTAGAAACTGAGAATACCAAACAAGTGCTGACAAAGATACTTGCTTTTATCTTTGCATTTTATTCCTTTGTATCATCAAGTGCCATTCCAAGCATTTTGGATCATGTAATATTTATGATGAGTAGATCAGGAATTGCATTAACTTTGATCATAGTAGCAAACTAATTTTTCCTTATTTAACTCTTACTGTGCAAATATTGAGCAATGAAGTACCGATTCTTAACATAATGTTAAGAATTTCATTCTTGCCAGCACTTCTTTCATCCACTGCAGTTCTAGACTGCTGCTAAAGTTCTCTCAGCAGCAGCTTCAGCCTTGCAGATTTTATGTATTAAAATTCAGGCTGGCTTGGTCAGATAATTCCTGGCTTCACTTACATATATCCAGGTGAAACTCTCTGGCATGTCTGATACTAGCTAAGTTGACTGAAGTGTTTCTAAAGCTTATTAAAGTATTTGTTGTTCTCAGGTAAGCTAGTGGCATCATCTACAAAAATAAGGTCTCCTTTTTTATAGCATGTGTTTAAATCAAGTAAGATCTGATGAATGTCACTGAATAGTTGCTTCAAAATCGTATTTCAGGACTGAAAGTACAGAAATAGCTGTGGCCTTCTAGGTAATATAAACATTGGACATAGAGCAACCATACTGTCTGTAGTATACAATAAACTATTTACAAGGTCTATTAATCTATTTAGCAAAAAGATGTAGGCAACAGGGAGCTTCAGCCCTCGGGCAGCCACATCTAAACATTATAAATCTAGATAAATGCATCTAAACATTATGAATTGTTACAGAATGTCTACTGTTAACATATAATGTGTAATTATATATATAATATATAATTATATTAAAATATATATATATATAAAAAATAAAGTTTTGTAATTTTCTTTGAAAAATAAAAAGTTAAACCAACTAATCCCTTGCCTTCAGTTGACAGGCTCAGTTTTAGAAGATGCCTGGAAAGAAAAAGGAAAGAATGATATGGAGGAACTGATACAGAGAATTGAAAATGTTGTGTTGGATGCAAACTGTAGCAGGTGAGGAGATAAATATATGTGCGGTGTTTTGTTTTTTGTATTAAACAGAACACCTTAAAAATCTTCAAGAATAATGAACGTGTTTAAAACATTACCTTAAAAACTTTTTTATGAAAAATAAGGTGATATTCAGGTCACTTCCCAGATGAAAAAACCGCACATATTTTTCAATTAAGGGGGCTTGGGAGTGTGCTCTGGTGGTTTGGTGGTTTTTTCATTTTTGTATTTCATCTTTTAACAGAGATGCATGTTCCACTGTAATGACTTTTTTGAAGTCTTCCATAAGATCTAAGTGCTTTAGACTCTAAGATCAAGTATCTATACAAAGATACAATAGTGGCAATATCTCATAGTTTATACTTTTAAATCTGAATTTAATAGTATTAAATATATAGAACCAATATTAAATATGTAACAGTATTAAATACGTACAAATCACTGTAACTGTAAAGGCAAAATGGAATATGCTTTGTGGTCGTTTTGTTTTGTTTTTATGGAGAGCATACTTTTCTGGCAGGATCTTAACTGCAGCCTGGAAAAAGAGTGCTTAGCTAATGTGTTCTGCTTTTTAATTTGCAATCATCTGCATGCATGAGGATATCTGATTCTGCTGTACTTCATCCTCAGTTTCTTGCAAACTCACTAAAAACCTCTACAGAGGGTTCAGATGCTGTGACCTGATCTGTTGCCATATGGAGGGAGACCAACAGGTAGCTCGTAGCATCTGTGCTTGGTAATTGAGCTGCCTACAGGGAGTAGGAGGAAAATTTTGCTTCAGGAACCAGAGAAAATTGATAGTGCAAGCTGCGGCTTCAAAGAGACAGAATCACAAACCTATTTTAATAGAGAAAGCAACTGAAGATTTTATTTATATTTATTTCTTAATGAGACTCTTCTCCATGGACTTGCTTAGAAAAAGGAAGTGATTTCTCTTACTTAGGGATGAAATGGGTGGTGGTATCTAACATTGGAGACATCAACAGCGAGAAGTTACTGCAAAATTTTAGTGTGATTGAGGGCTAAAGCTAGAAGCACAAATTAGCTCAAAAGGCAATTTGGAGATCATACCCCTGTTTCTCCCAGTGCTATCCTTTTATCAGAAAAGGATTTGTTCCTCAACTTGTGCTGCAGGTTTGGCATCTTGATAGAAACTGTAGCAATTTCTGTGTAATATGAGCTCCTTACCTTATCACAGAGGAAGGGGAGAGGGCGAGTGTCTCATAATTAACTCTCATGTTCATAAAGCATGTAGACTTGCAGGGGAAAAAAACTAACTCAAAATTATCTGCAAACTGGACCAAATTTTGTCCTTTTTAGAATGTTGGGGTGGGGGATTTAATTATCTAGTATTTGCAAGATAACAGAAATCCAATTTCTTAGTTGTGCTAAGGGTTCTTAGCACAAAACATTCTAACTTTTGTAGTCCTCCTCTTTATTTCAGAGATGTGAAACATATGCTTCTGAAACTAGTAGAACTACGATCAAGTAACTGGGGTAGAGTTCATGGAACTTCTGCACATACAGAAGCTACCCCTGAAAATGACCCAAACTATTTTATGGTAAGAACGAAAAAGCACTTCAGTTTCCTTAATTTAGTGAATTTAATTTGATTAATCGATAGACACATTGTTGAAAACTCCAAACAGCTGTCTCTCTGAACACATATAACATTCTGTATAACTTTGTTCTTAGAATGAGCCAACGTTTTACACTTCTGATGGTGTTCCGTTCACTGCAGCAGATCCAGGTATGTCACAAGCTTAGCATACTTGTCTTCTCAGTCATCTTTAGGAAGTTGTAATTCAGTTTACGTCCTGTTGAAGTACATAAAAAGTTGTTCTTCAAACATCTAAAACTCGTACAACTTAAAATACAAAATTATTGCCCAGGGAAGTTGTGGATGCCCCATCCCTGGAAGTGTTCAAGGCCAGGCTGGATGTGGCCTTGAGCAACCTGGTCTAGTGGGAGGTGTCCCTGCCCATGGTGGGGGGTTGGAAATCGATGATCTTTGAGGTGCCTTCCAACTGTAACCATTCTATGATTCTATGATTGTCTGAATTCCTGGCTTTGTGTAACACATGCCTTATTCTGCATCAAAAGAAGGTAAATGTTTGAAATAGAGAATATGTGTTTGAGTTCATGTAGTTCAGAAGAATTTGTGCCATGGTCCTCAGCACTAGGTCTCTCCAGGAAGCCAGAAATCTTCAAGTCATCTTTTGTTTGTCCGCTGCTTTGTTTGTCCTGTATTGAAAAGGGCTGTTTCTTCCTTGTTTTCTTCCCTTTCTCTAATCTGAGCACAATGTGGCATAACATCATTTGAGGTAAAGACATCTGTGACTACCTTTACAGTTCTCTGGAAAGACAGGTATCAATCATGTTGATTGATGTCCTGAGAAAACATTGTAGCAGGAATTTTTATCTATAATGTTTCATGCCATTAACCGTTTCCTAATGCAGGCTATTTTGAATCTGTATAGATGTATGCTAATTTAGAGAATTAGTGTTATATATTATTCAGTCTCATTTTCACTTTGCCAGATTACCAAGAAAAATACCAAGAGCTGCTTGAAAGAGAGGATTTGTTTCCAGATTATGAAGAAAATGGAACAGATCTATCAGGATCTGGAGAGCCGTATGTTTTCTTTTTGAGTGATAGTTTTGTTTTAATACTAGTAAATTTTACTGCAGGCTTAGAAATCCGATCTTGACAAAAATGAAACTAATATAATTATTATTTAGCTGTGCAATGGAAGTATTTGCTTTTAAGTTGCTTTGTAATCATCAAAGTTATTTATCCACCTGAGTAGGGTAATTAAATTTCAGATATTTATGCACATGTAGAAACATACTCATCTGCATTTAAAAAAAAATAAATTTGCAAGCAAAATGAAGCATCAGACCTTCAAGTGTTGGTAGTGAGGCAACATCAATTCATTTGACTGATGCACGTACACATCCCAGTTAAACATGATTACAAATTTTTCAGTCTTCCAAAGGAAAGAGGTTGTTAAGTTCACCTCCTCAGGATAAGGAGTATCCCTCAATTAAATGACTTTTCGGTATTCCTGAAGAACAAGAAAAGCAACCTAATGGCAAAGGAGGAAGCAATAGATGGAAATGTAGTCTGACTTTCTGACACCAGTTTATAAGAATTTAATAGGAAACCAGTAAAAGAAATATGTCTAAAATAAATGTTCTTAGCTTTGTACTCTCCTGGTTGAGATAGGACTTCCGATCATGATTTGATACCTAAGAACACTTTCAGTGTTGTGCTTATGTGTGATAAAGAGTGCTGGCCTGGATCAGTATTTCTGTGAGTAAATTAGAAAACTTGTAGATTGCACCTAACTGATAGGAGTGGAAAGAACTTGGGAAGATAAATTAGAGATGTCATCAGAAATCAGCAAGCTCATACTGAGGGGAGAAAAATACCCATGTGAATCTGTATGCTTAGAAGAACAAATTAGATGCAAAGTGGAACATGCAGCAGTTAAACACAGCAAATCTGAAGAGTGACATGTGGAAGACTGTGAGTCAACCTTCCTGCAAGGTGACTGTGAAACCTTCTTTGTTGAAGGCTTAAGAAAAGCTGAGACAGACGTATGCTGATCCTCTGTCAGCTATTTCTCATGACTGACATCGGGGGAAGGAAGGGTTCTGTGGTGAGCCCCTTCTCAAGTCTACACTTCTACAAGGAAGAAGGAGCAAATAAAATAGACATTTAGTCTGCTTCTTCAATAAACAGTGATAAAGAAAAAATACTTCCCTCACACATTTCTATGTCATTTACTGTGGTTTTGTGTGAAACATACCATTTGTGGCCTCTCTACAGATGAGATGTGCTGATTCCCTTGTTTGGAACTAAGGCACAGAAGCCAATAAACTGAGCCCCTGAAATTAACACACTTTTTGAGAGTCAGTAGCTGCTGACTGTTGTTTTTTTTTTTTAAGGCTGTTTAGAATTAGACTATCATGTTCAAGCTACAACTCTGTTGTCCTAGTTTATGGTGATGATCACTCCAGCTGGACCTAGAGAAAACAAGGAACACTCAAGTTACTTCCCAGTAACTGTGGGGAGAAAGAAAGCTGAAGTGCTGCTCATTGCTTCCCAGCTTTACTTTGAAGCTCTATGGTCGTATCCACTCTGTGCAATGCTTAATACCATTAATGGGATCCAGTCTTTCCTGTGACTTAAATAAGACGGATCTTTTCCGAAAGACTGGTTACCGTAAGATAGAGGATAATATAATGCAGATGCAATAGGGAGGTGAATTAAGGTTGCCTTCTTTCATATATCAAAAAACAGGAGTGCAGGTTTTCTATATAAATATATGCTTGGACTAGTGTGCAACCAAGACAGTTGATGCAGTATTTGAAGTAGGATGTTCACCAACCAAAAATTATTTAACTAATTAATTAATATAATTTTTAATATTTATATTATATATAATAAATATATATTTATATATATGAATAATATAATATTTAACTAATTAAATTAATATAATATGCTAATTATCTTTTTTTGCAAATAGAACAGTACAGATACATGATTAAATTTTAGGAAGCTTGGAATGCATTATTGCATTTTCTATCATAACAGGAACTATTTCTGTCTTTTAAACTCTGGACAGTGTAAGATGATTTAAAATGGCGACAAACACTGTAGCTATTTGTACATATCTGTGCTGCTTTGAGGTTTCTGTGTATTTGTTTTCCTAGTAGCCATGGTTTTTTTCCTCTTAACCACATTTAAGAAAATGTCATTGTTAACTGCAATTTATAAGGCTCTATTTTATTCTTGACATCTATGTAAATGTTTCTGAAAATCTGTACGTAAATGTTACATCTTTGGTGACTTTTTTATATTTTTTTAGGTATTTTGATGACGTTGATGATGAGATGGATCCAGAAATTGAAGAAGCATATGAAAAATTCTGTCTAGAATCAGAACATAAGAGAAAACAGTGAGATGTTATACGTTAATGTTAATTTAACCAGTTTAGATATGGTTAAAATACAAGGGGATATAAAACATTTGTACCAAAATAAGGAACTTGAGTTTCTCCAAGTACTGAAGTTATACAATTTCCATTTTGTTTAACAGAATCTGCCAAAAATTGTAAACTTATGCCCTGTAACTTAAAATGTTGTGTATATATCATAGTTTATTTTATGTACAGGTATATGAACAATGTTTTGGCTGCAATAAAAAGATTTAAAAATTATCATAATGGAAATTTAAAATTTAATGGGGAACTGTCCCATAAATTTTTCCCTTGAGGGAGAAAGGGGAAGAATAACTTCATATAAATTTAATTGCTCGCTTGCTTGTTTTAGTATATATTGAGATTTACTCATCTCTTTACCATATGCAAGATACTTGGTACATAGGGGGTTTGGGTTTGTTTTTTTTTTTTGTTAAGGGGAGTAGGATCCAAAGACAGATTATTTTTTTTTTTTGTAGATCACAGTCATGAAAAGTGGTTTGTGAAAGTTTTGTTGGGGAGGCGGGGCGGGGGGGGGTGTGTTTGTTTATTTCCTTTTTCTTCCTTCTCCAAAACTCATATAGGTGAGGTATAGACTCTTTTTTTCTGGAATAAACATGTTATATGTCACCATGTGAAAAAGCAGGCAGTATTTTGGTAGTTCTGTGCTATAAAGATCTTTGGTTCAGATGAGCTTATTTTCAACTTTTACAAGTAAAAGCTATCCTTTAATTTGTTGTGTTCTTCAAGACTAAATGAATATATTTGTTTTAACACATGCTTCTCGAGAGTATGTGTAGTGCTTGACTTGTTTGTTTCTTTTTTTAGTGTATCTAACATGTCTAACCTTCTGGCAACCCTTGTGACTTCCTCCATTCTTCTAATTTTATGTAGTTTGATTTAATTTTGTAGTTGGAGTAAATTCATGTATTTCATAAATGTTAACATTCCGGAGCCAACTGCTCTTTTTTGACACCATATGATCATGTTAGTTTTCCTAGGTTACTCTGTTGTTGTTGCCAAACTCAGTTGTGCTGTTTCCTGTTACCTGTTACTGGTTGACTGAGTAGAACCCCTTTCCAAAAACAAATGGAAATACTTCCCAGGAGTTAGCTACTGTAAAGAACACATGTTGTAAATATGCATGTAAATAGTTCTGTTAATATTTCACTGTTACTTGTTTGGTTCAATAACTTGTGCATCTGCTAATACAGTGAGCACTGACTGTTTTCTGGATGTTTATTTAACATACTTATTTAGGTTGGAGTTTTGGAAAATAAAATTTAACTACGGTTGTTTCCTTTGGTATAATTTACTGCCTTGTATTTTTGCTTTAAAAAAGATATTTTTTCTCTTTGGTCCTTTTTCTATCTCTGCTTCACTTAACATTCTTTTTTTCCCTTGAACTACACAGTTGCAGAGAGTATTATCTTTTAATACTCATTGGAAAAATAAAATTTATCAAAGGGCATTACGGTCATATAAACTACATTAGCATTTCAAAATCTCTAGACTAAAATCCAGAAACTAGAAAAGTGAAACATTAGAATACATATTTTTCATACAAAACTTTTAATCCAAATATAGGTCAGACTTCCTACTGACTTCACAAGCAGTTGTGGAAAACGTATTTACTCAAAACTTAAAGTCCCAAGGAACAAGCATCCATGTATGCATTGCTGTAAAGTAACAGTGTCTTCAAGGAACTCTGCTTTACATGTTTCAGTTATGCATCTTTTGTAGTGTGTCTTTTTTTCCATAAATTAGCTGTCAGACTTGAGATGTCTGCTCTGTCAGCTTGTGGAGACAGTGTGTCTTACATGTAGGTAAGAAGTCCGTCAAGTCATCCTGTGCAAAAATGTTGGGAACTAAGGATTGTATGTATAAAGCAATTCAGATCGAGGTTGCCAAAATAAGCTTTGTCCTCCAGCGGAAATACTGAAAAATCATCAAGTGAGACTTCTGTTCAAAGTAGTGAAGTTTGTGGTCTCTGTCCATATGAAGCTTTTTAAGAGCTTTAAGCTTGTACTGCAGTGAGGAAAAATTGGTTTTAACTCTGCCCTACTGACTAAGGAAGACAGAGTCATCTTTGCCTCAAACACTTAACGACCTTTCCTACTTGTCTTACATCTCAGAGGAGTTATATATGAATTAGTGATGGTGGAATGAGATGCAAGAGAGCAAACAAAAACAGCAGGTTTCATGCTGTCATAATCGTCATTTGCTGTTTGTCTGCCCACTTTTAACTGCTGCTAGTTCTGTGTATGGTGAAGATGAGTCTTCAGAGTTTTAAAGATTATTTCACCTGAATTTTAGCATTTACAAATTTCAAGTGCACGGTGTACTAGAAGTGCTTCTCATCTGCAAGTTTCTGAGCAATACCTTGCAGATAAACAACCCTTTAAAAAGGTGTATTTTCTTTGTGGCAAAAAGGGTAGGGCCAATGAAGGTGCAGAAGCATGACAAGCAAACCTTGGGGGACAACCGGAGGAAACTTCTTTAGTGCTGGTTGTGTTAAGAAACATGCTTTCCATTTGAATTCAAGCACGTGACCAAGCTTCACACAGCAGAAAAAGTATGCACAATACTTGCCACTCCTAACAAATCAACTGCGACTTAACAAAAATATTTTGTATTTTAAAATCTCACTTTGCTTGAAGTAACTTCAGACTGGGCCACAAGAGGTGCTGCTTTCCATGTGCTTTGCTTTTCAATGGCAGTTACACGTTCAGAAATGAAGTCAACTTTTTCTCAGTAGTTTCTTTTCAAGTCTGCTAAGAAGATCTTTGTACTACTGGCCTACTTTTTTTTTTTTTTTTTTTTTTTTTTTTAAAAAAAAAAAAAAAAAAAAAAAAAAAAAAAAAAAAAAAAAAAAAAAGTTCTAGGATTTTTTTTTTTTTTCCTTTTTTTTTTTTTTTTTTTTTTTTTTTTTTTTTTTTAGGAAAACAGATGGTCGCTGGGTTTTTTGAATAATGGTTGTAAGTGTAATTGTAGCACTACAGAAAGAAGCAAGACTGGCTCACCATCATCAGGTATCACAAATTATGCCTAGCTGGGGGTTATTTATTTTTTTTTAAGTTGGAACAATATGGCAGTGAATGTTAGTGACACCCAGTCTGGTTTGTAATAGTCATTTTTATTTCTGCCTAGGACAGTAATTCCGTATCATGTTCTGCCTTTCCTTCCTACCACACAGAACTCATTCAATTAGTGATACCTCAAGTTCACAGCTTCTCTCTGACTGAATTATAGTTCTAATAATCTAGTTTATGCCTGTGGATCCTGGAAGTTAATACCGGAAAAGAAAATGACATTCTGGCCAAGAGTCAGGGAAGATCCCACACTGTTTGTACTCAGGGGTTCACCTTCAGCCTACTTGACCTGCTCCCATGGCGCCTACGCTGAAGGTTCCACCACAGCAGTGAAGTTGCCAGCAAAATACATAAATAATTAAAAGTAAGAAAAGATTGGTAATCCAAACACATGCTTTGAAACTTGCTTCAAGCAAGTATTATGCAGAATACTATTCATTAAAAAGGGCACTGCAGACAGAACCAGGTCTGCAGCCACCCGACTGGATGCTGATCCACTCTCCCCTCTGCTGGGAAGGTGGTTGTAGAGAATGGAAAGGCACTTGTGTGGTTGCACACTGGTCTGAGGTGCCTGTACCTCCATGGGTAAGGAACCGTCCTTGCAGCTGGATGAGAACATACCATCTAGGACGGCCTGCATAGGAAGGGATCTTGAATTACACCTCTTTAGTGCTTTAAGCAGGAATTGATAATAAATTGGCACGTAACCGTCTACATGTCCATCCAGAGAGCGCAAATACCTTCCAAAAACAGCATAATTTTTGAACTGCTCTTTAGGAAGTTAATCCTTTAGTTTATTCAGCTGCCTGTGCTAAGCACAGGGATGCCTGATAGATTTCCTTGCCCTGTGAAACCATGCCTGTATGGCAGCAGGGAATAACTTATCCATCTTCTGTTGTAGGTCTGCAATCTGCCGTCTGGGTCCAGATCCGAAGCCTCCTCCTCCCTTCCCGGAGGTGTGTCAGGGCACCTGCTGAGCGAGGTGTACCTTAAAGAACCGCAGTTACAGGTAAATACGGGTTTGTTAATTTTTTTCCTATAGATTAGGCTTCTGTACTACTAATTCTCCTTTCCGGAGCAATAAAAAAGGCATCCCTATTTCCAGCTGATAAAAATTGAGGGGGGCGGGGAAGAAGTTAAGGACAGGGTTTGCATCCAGCTCGTTTTACAAACGTGTATATAAATCAGGTCACGCTGCCGGCCGGAAGATAACGTTAATTCACCGAGTGAACGGGGCTGGGGGGGGAGGGAGCCCGCCGCCCCGCCCCCTGCTTCCCGCCTTGCGCCGGCGGCCGGTTGCCCGCCCCGGGGGGGGAGGGATGGCGGCGGAGCGGGTGATGGTGCTGTTCGGGGACGGCTCGGTGGAGGTGCATTACGCGGCGGGGTCCCGCCTGCTGCTCTCCCCCTGCGGCTGCGAGTACCTGCACCGAGCGGCGCTGCCCGCCGCACACCGCCCGCAGACCGGCCGCCGGCGGGTGGCCTTCGCCCTCAGCGCCTGCCGGGTAGGGGCGGGGCGGGCCCGCGGGGAGCGGCTGCGGAAAATGAGGGGGTGAAATAACGTTAGAATTGTATCGCTGCCTAGAAAGACTCGGTGTTGGTTTTGCTTTGTTTTGTTTTCCTTCACGCTTCCCGCAGGAAGAAGTGGTGCGAGCTCTGGATTTCCGGAACCGGTTCTGTTCCCCCCCGTACTTACCCGCGCGGGTGATACCTGCGGAGAGGAAAAGGGTGAGCGCTGACACGCGTGGTGCTTTCCTGGGGCAAACTCTGCTGGGGGCCGCACAGAGCCGACCCCCGGCTCTGGGGCAGGGGTGTGAGTGCAGGCGGTGAAGGTCGACGGGCTGCAGTTAGCCAGTCCGTTTGTCAGCTTGGTTAGAGTACTGCCGTTTTAAATTACGGTTTTAACTGTTACTTAGTCCTCTGTTTATGCATATCCTTTGTAGCCGAGCAACAAAGAGTTCGTTTTCTCCTACTGAGACTAAAACCTAGGATTTTGTACACGTGATGGAGTGAACCACTTCATGTATCGTCACTTTTCTACACTCCAAACCTTTAGGGAAGACTCTGTGAAATAGGAGAGTGTTTTCCAGGAGGCTGTCAGGTTCAGATTCCCGTTGTTTCCCCACCGAAGCACCCGTGTGAGTCTGTTATGGGGGTCCTGCGAGGGGACTGGGGCAGAGTGTTGCTCTATGGAAATTGCTGCTCCAGCTCCGGCTGAAGGTCCATGCAGACCCCCGTTTTACCCTTTCTGGGAGCTTTACTCCTTCCCCATCAGCGTGCCTCTGGTGTTCCCACTGAATGCACGCACGCGTGTGTGTGCACTGTGGTGAGAGCCTTAAGACAGCTAATAAATCAGGCAAGTTTTAAAACTTTTAGACTGAGGCTTCATGCTGATGTTTGGTTGCCGAAAACACCGTCAGCCAGTATCAGGGCATACTTCACAGCAGCCACACTGTGCATTCACTGGGAGGTACAGCAGCACCGTACCTGTACTGCACCAGCTGGTACTCCGGGTACAGTACATCAGTACAAGGTACAGTGCTGCCCTACCATCATCGTTGGCACTAGTGGGTGACCCTCCCCCCAGGCCAGAATCTTGTTCTTCTGGAAGGTGGCTGGGTTTATAGGCACTTCCTAAATTACAGCTTCCGCTGTGACCACCTGCTTCAGGATATTGAGGGATAACTTTTCCAGGCCACAGCAAGTGCCTTATCCTGTTGCTTGACTTTTTTTTTTTTTTCTTTGTTTTTGTTTTATCAGCTGATTTATCAGCTGCTGCTTTTCTTAAAGCAAAAGCAGGCTTTTGGTACCTGTTGAGATTGTGCTTCCTCAGTAGTTCACTATCCCTTTATTGTTCTTTGGTGTCCGTCTTCAACCACTGCCCATGCTTCCAAGGCCTTTGCTCTTTCCCACACTTTGTCAGTCCCTCATAATGAGGTAACGATTATCCACTTCACTCAGCACCTTCCCATAAGCCGCTGGTAACGAGCCTAACGGGCAAGCCCTGAGCACCAGAGCCAGGTGGCCTAAGCCTGTGGCCTGTGGCTAGCAGTGGCGATGCTTTTGCAGGGCCAGTGGGTACAAAAACACCTCTACAGTCACACTGGATTATTTCCCTCCTGCTTGAGTTCAGAGCAGTCCAGCGCTGCCCTCCGCTTTGGCCACGCTCCCCCCACAGCTCCAGGCAGCTTGGGGAGGGGGATCTTGTCAGTGGTGTGGCCTGCTCAGAGCTGCAAGCGGTGCTCAGAGCGCAGGTTAATCATCAGCGTGTTCCGTGGAAAGGCTGTATTTTCTGTCTCGGAGCCCATCCTTTTATATGTAAGGTTGGGACTGCTTTTCCTCAGTTCTCCGCCGAATTTTTATCTGCAGCATTATTGTCTGGTCACTCAATGGTCCTTTTGCAGTTCTGTATGGTAAATTTTCGTCTTTAGTGCCCTGAATACCTTGAGCAGCCTTACCCACCTTACTGGTACACACGAGTGCTGCCGTCTTTCCTTCTTATTGGACTCCAGGCTTTTCCAGTGCTGGGCCAAAGTGTGATGGGGGCTGAAGCATACCTGATTAAGGGGCAGTCAAATGAGAAAAAGCTGATGAAACTGAGATAAAACAAATTATGAGGAGTGTGACTACTCATTTGCTAAGGTTTTTTTTCACACCTTAGTGGACTGGGTTTGCATTTCTGTGTTTATTTGGGATCCAGTGCTTTACCTTCAATTGAAAACAGACTGAAGGTGCTTTCTCTGTGGGGATGACATATAAGGACAATTCAAAGGAAAATACCCCATTTTAGGGCAGAACTGCAGATGGTTAGAAAGGCATTCTCTATCTTGATAGAATGTTTCTAGTTTCAGAAGGTGAATAATTCATTTTCTAAACAATAACTTCTTCTTTTTGGGCAAAGCTTTAATATGGGTCTTGAGTTAGGTGTAGTGTTTGTTTCAAGTAATTTGTTGAGAATCCTTTGCTTCTGTTTTGCAGAAGGGGCGGCACAAGGCCATATGCTGTGAAAATGTTTTTTTGTTTTGAACAAGTGCTAATTGAAGTAGCAATCTGTACCTGAATATCATGGTAATGAGATGAAAAGTTTCAAAAGAATAGCGTCAAATGTTGTATTGAAAGTCTAAAATCTTTATTATATTTTAAATTCTTCTTCAGAAATATGTTATATCCACATCCTAGCAATAGCTGTGTAACTTAATCTGCAGTGTTGCAGGATTAAGTAAAATTACTCACCTAGCTGCAAAACATTTCAAATAAATTTTCATTTTGGTAAGAACACATAAATACATGTTACATGCCATTTTACAGGCTTATTTTAATTTTATAAATAAAGAGAAGATGTCAGAGTACATGGGTTTCTGATGTATGGAATTCTAACACGGGCTTTCCATGAAGTCTACTGGTAACTGATGTGATCAAGATAAATTAGGCTTAGGCTTTCTTTTGAGTGTTTCTTAAGAAGCAGTTGGAAACAAATATCTACTGTCTGTGGGCAGTTGTGCCTGGTCAGTTGGCCACGTACCTTACTAGTTTTTGAATGCATATCAAATTAAAACAGTACTGCTAGATAGAAGTCTGTTAGAACAGGAAGCAGATAGGAAGGTTAGATAGTTTGCTTACTCTTGAGTTCACGTATGCCAATAAATATGGAGTAAAGTTTCTTGCCATACATCACCTTGCAGGAGGATTGAATTCATGTAAATGTAAATCCTCTATTGTAATTTCCAGGAAGCAGGTCATTTTTATCTTGCCACAGATTCCAATCCTTTTTCTTGTGTTAGATTCTTTGTAGTGATATCTTAGAAATTAGATGGCCTGACCCTGCTACGGCTGATCTGACAAGATGTATAGACAACGGCAGGGTGAAGATCTCATCGGTAGATGGTTATGCTCACCTTTACCTGTCAGAATTGCAGCAAGAATTTACAGTGGAGTTCTTATGCAAAGTCAGCCAGTCATCTGCAGCATCCTTACGCTCCTCTCAGAAGAGCAGCAACTACCAAACCAGAGATCAGTATGGAAAATCAAGTAAAAATTCTGTTGCAGAAACGTCATTGAAACAAATGAGAATAGAGAATGAGAAGAACGAACATGGTTGTTCTGAAGGTAGATACAGAGAACCAACTGAACCAAGGGACCAGAAAGACAGAGGTGGAGTCCCTGGGTTCTACACAAATTGTTCTTTTGAATACACATGGGTTACGCAGTGTTGGTCTGTTTCCTCCTACCCAGAAGAATGGAAATACCCTTTGTTGTTGGCACTAACGTGCTACAACTCACATACGGATAAGAACGCGGCGAAGGCCTGTGAGAACAACAACCACACATCTATAGAGGCTGATGTATTAACAGACCCAGGAACACATGAAACAGTTTCTCGTTTACCTGCAGCTTTGCCACTCAGCTGCAGAGCCCCACATTTACACAGGTAATTTAAGCTGTTTACTTCGTAGTTGTCAACATATGTTTTACAACTCTGTAATTTGGAATTTCAACCCCTAGCAAGATAACTGAATTCTAGCTATTAAAAAAACCCCTTTGTAGTCTTTTTTTTGGTCAGGTAACATGGTTGGTTGAAAACATGTTTGGTTGAAACATGAAATTTGGGAAACCAACATTCTGCATCCTACTATAGTAAATATAGAGAGATTAGTCCAGTGAAAAATAAACTATTTTCTGATATACTGTATAAATGTGTAACTGAAAAAGAGTTTTGGGTTGGTTTGGGTTTTTTTCATTTTTGAGAAGGTAATACTTCTGAGGTGGGTCAGTGGCATACATTCTCCGTCAGCACCACTAAAAATAATAAAAAAAGACCTTTGCAGGTTTGAGAAACCTTAATTATCCCCATTGGTTACCAAATTAATTATCAGAGGACTCTGAAAATATGTGGCCTCTTTTCCTTTGAATAGGTGTGCATGCATCTATTCTTGGTACAGCACACAAAAAACCCAACCTTTAACCTTCAGATTTACTGAAGCTTTTATTGTATTTTATACAGGTGGACTTTCTGCGACTTCTTTCAGAATCAAGATACTGGAAACTATTCATGCCCTCAGCTAATTCAAATTGTATGGTGCCAGGGTGTTTTTTATAGGTATGTAGGATGTGTTTCATTTTGGGGAGAATTCTTTTGTATGGGAGTTAGGCTTTAAGAAGAAACGTCTTACTTTGTCCCTTTTTCACTCTTTGAGAAATTGAACCCAATCTTCATGCAAGTGCCTGTTTGTTCATTAGACTTCAAATTTTTCTAGTACAGTGGATTTTTAGGTCTGAAAGTGGGTATGCCTGAAACAATCAATCTGAAATCATGTTTAAGGCTTTTAAAGAAGTGATCTGATTATCTGATTTCTTCATGGTTTACTGGACAGCTGGAGCTCCCACAGACTTCACTGACAATTATGGTGCTTGCTTTCTTTGCAAATTATGTTTCTCCTTTTGATGCTGAAGACTTCACGCTTTAGAAATGTTTGTCTTGGTGACCTACATAACTTTCATGTTGCAGGCAGTTAGACTGTATATTTTCCTGGCAAATCACCTTGTCCATATGCTTTAAAAGGGGAAAAAAAAAAAGACTTCTTTCTTTAATTGGCCTCTCAAATTTGTTATACAAACTGAAAATGCTACAGTTGCTATCAGCATCTAGAAGTCTTTAAAGCTTTAATCTTTCTGCCCAGTGTTCTTCATTTTTCTCAGTGCAATTCCTAAATTTTCATTTCATCTGAACAAAACATTTAGCAGCTCTTCAGTGCTATACCTCATTTCTTTGGAAGTATGGTGAGTAGTCATACTCAGTCTTCTAAGTCCCCTAACCAAAGTCCAGGCATCTAACCAGAGAGCTGCAGAACTGGGTCATTAAATGGGTTTTAGGCTCCAAGATACCATGAGACCACAAGTAAAAGACCATTGATCTTAGTGAAAAACTCACAGACCTTCAGTTTGTTCAGGGATTGTTCAGTCTGACAGTTCTCTGTGTGCACTAGGTAGGGCTTGTCCACTAAGAAAATTGGATTTTTCTCTTCAGAATCGCTGTATTTTCTAGCCAATGGAGTGAGCAGCTCTTGTGAGATGTATATCACAACATAAAAAAAAGCTTTCCTTAACTTCTCCCACTCTCCATGCACACATGCAGACAAAGAGCCTGGTAATGCTAATCTTCAGTCTTAAAAGACGTAATTGGCACACTCTGCTGTTATCGAAAGAGTAGAAAGGTTTTCATGTCAGAGTTCTGGTGAAAATTTGTTTCTGCTTAGTGCTTTCTTCAAGTGTACTAACCTGTTTTGTTTGTCTAGTGACACAGCATTTTAAATACTTGTTTAAAATTTTCTTATTTCTCTTAGATTTATCCATGGTAGGACAAACATAACAGAAATTTATCCTGGTGATGGCTCATTTTTCAAGTCAGAGGGAGCATTTTTGGGAAACTATTTTGTACATTATGAAATCCAGAAAGGCACAAAGAAGGTATAAAACTATTTTAAAATATGATCCAAATTTCAAGTTAGCACTTTTCTTAGTTCTAAAACATTTGGCTGTGTAGTCTGTAGCAAAGTCTCTACATTAGTAATTAGTATGATGACTGAATTAAGCAGTCAGTCATACAAAAAAAAGATTACTCATTCTGTTTCAGAATATATTTTTTAAAATAAGAAAACAAGAAGTAAGAAAAATCTTATTCATTGTAACATTTATTTAAGAAGCTCAAGTATGTACTTGCTAGGCATTAAGATTCTACAATAGCCATTTCTCAATAATTTAGAAGAGAAGATTAACCTTTAATATATTGATTAGGTTTTAGTCTTTATGTACTTGGAAGTGTTTTCTTTTTTATTATATGGAGATAGAACCTAGAAGATGCAGATTCTGTTCTGGCTTTGCCACAGACCAGCTGTTCAGTGCTGGAGAAGTGGTTTTGTCTCTCTCTGTCTATTGTTGTTTCCCCAGAGTAGGGATCCTCTCAAGTGTTTATGCAGCACTGTGTATTTTTAAAGCAGAATTAGGGGATTAGGGGTCAACTTTGTACCTTTTGCATGTCGCCTTTAGCATGTAGTCAGAAGTAGTTGCTGAGTAATGAACTGCAGTCTGTATGTTCTGATAAGAGAACTTTTTGGTCTATACCGAGTGACTGCGAGTGTTTCTTCCCACAAAGTAGGCTTAAAGGATACAACTGCATTTTTTTCACTTTTCAAAGAGAGAACTTACCTGTTTTCTGGGACAAAATTAACCATGATTATAGTTGCTTTCCGGAAGGTCAAAAACTTCATATCTTGCAATAATGTTTTCATGCTACAGTACCTGTAACTAACTCATCTCCTTTCTGCTGTTTACTGCAGAGAGAAGAAAAGATGTATTCGGTGAACAGCCTGCCTCCTGATGTACCAGGAAATCCTTACTCTGTATCCTCCATTATTACTCAGGCAACCAAGTAACTTTACTCTACTTTATCTTTGTTACATTAATTCCTCTGACTTTGAAAAGACAGCAAAATTAGTTAAAATTGCACAAAATACTTATTATTACATTAAGTATCAAAATTAATGGAATTTATGTTAGTATTGAGGACATAAATAAACTTACAGAACAGAGGTCGCAACAGTTTAGAAGACATAGTAAGTATGAAATGCTTAATATATTGTTTGTTTTTTTTCTCCTCAGAATACTTCAGTACTGCTACAAGACTAAGCTGTCATTAAGTCATAACTATTATCTCTGCTGCTGGAAAATGGTATGTAGTTGAAGATTTATAAATCTGTCAGTGTTATAAGGACGATGTTACAGGCTATGGGCAATAGGACATAATCTAGAAGGAATAATGGTGAGTGTATCCTCAAAGATTATAAGGTGTGTATTTGGAAACCAAAAGTATGCAGTGTAAAGGTATACTTGTGAAGCAGAAAGCAAACAAACGATCAAGAGAGCTGGTTGTGGTCTGGAAAAACAGGTGAATTGAAAATCTGGGCGAGGTATCAACAGCTGTAGCAGTGAAAGTAACCTTTCCTCAAGTTTTTAATGTGTTTGTTTGGTTCTAGGTACCTGAGACAGACGGACGAGAAATGTTGCCGGTTTCGCTGTATGAAAAGGTTGTTCCCAGCGTAGGAAGACTCGTCGTGTACTCAGATCATAAAGTCCATGCTGCTTTTTGGGATGGGGTGACCTTGAATATGGTCTGGGATTTCAGCTCTTCCTCTAGTGAGATCCAGGTAACTCACAAGTTAGAGGAATGACTATTCTTAAAACTTTTCATGAGAAAGTGTTACTAGGAAACTAATGAGGAAATGAATCAGAAGCTTTGATGCCTACAAAATATAAACTGAAGTCTTCATAACTCACAGCAGTTTGCTGCTGTGGCTTACTCTTGAGCTTGTATAGTAGCCGAAATGAAAATAGAACTATCTGCAAACACTACTGTTAATGTGTTGCCAGTATTTTAACAAGAGACAAGGAGGAAAAATATTTTAGTGCATAACTGATGCCTAAAGAGGTAAATAAAACTGTATCATTTTAAGAAGTCACTCCCATTGATCAAAGAAGGGAGATTTGGGGTTTTTTTATTTCAGTTTATCTATAAATGAGCAAATGGATAGTGAAAAGTTACTTGGAAAGTAACCTTGTGCATATAGTCTTCTGTATACATTTAAAAATCTACTTAATATAGAAGTAAAAAGACTATGTTGATTTTTGCAAAATGGAACTTCAGAGTAAATTATTTAAGTGTGGGATTCAAGGTTGACAGCTAAGACTTTTGGCTTCTATGTGTTTGTTTATTACACTAAGGTGATAAGACACGCAAAAGACACTGAAGTGCCTGAGGATCTCTGTTATTGTTCATAAACAATATAAATATGATAGTAAGTGTCCCAGAAGCTGCAGTGTAACTTCCTGATGTGAGCTAGCTCAAATCATGATAAAGGAGGAAGAATTGAAAAATTCTACAGGTTTGGAAACATTTCTACATAATTCTAGAAATAATTTATTCTTGAATAGCACAAAATGAGTGTTGGGGCCATGCCAGGTGTTTAATTTTGTTGGTTTTTTTTCCTCCTTCACATTTGTCATAGCAGACTATATCAAATTCTGCCCTTAGCAAAACACAAACTTTTAAGTGTTCAAAGTTGAATGTTTATAGATACTTAACTCTTAGGATGGCATATTATACTTCTGGTTTTTTCTTCAGACTGCAGCAGACAATATTTGTAATTTTTTTTCTTCTAAGGTAAATGAAGATGTGGGCTGGTGTAAGTTAACTACTCCTGATGGGCTACAGCAGTTAATACAAATGAGTCACCCTGGAGTCTATGAAAGGTATAAGTAACTTAAACAATTTAAAGCTAAATATAAAAGAATTCTCTACAGATCCTTTCATATGAAGAAATGGCATTTACTGAAAATACATTGGTGGGGAGGCAGGGGAACCAAACATGTAATGATAAAAGCTGCATTTTATATCTGGCAAAGATTCGGGACCTGTATGACTCAGGACCTCTGCATGCTGCCATTCCATTATAATTGTTACAGTAATGTCTTTTTAAAAAAAAGAGCTGCAACTTGGCAGTTAGATCAGTGGATAAGTAAAAAAAAAAAAAAAAAAAAAAATCTTTGCTTTGTCCTATATGGAGCTCCTACATAGAACTGGATAGCACTTTATCCAATTTTTGCTTTATTACAGCTATTGACCTCTGCCTGCAGATTCATAGAGTCATAGAATGGTCCAGGCTGGGAGGGACCTCCAAAGGTCATCTAGTCCGACCCCTCTGCAGTCAGCAGGGACACCCCCAACTAGACCAGGTTGCCCAGGGCCTCATTGAGCCTCACCTTGGCTGTCTGTAATCTGCTTGCCCTAATTACAGCCTCATTATGGGAATCATCAGAAGCTTACTGCACTGCATTTTAGCAAGCAGATATGCACAAACAAAAATTAACATTTGTGCACTATTCATTACAAATCATACAGCTTTGTTATAATTTTCTATAACTGCATAGATTTAAACATGAAGGAGATTCTAGACAAGAAGTGGGAATCAAAAAAAATGGCAAGAAACCTAGAGAAAAAGCTAGATTTTGAGTCAAGTTGTTTTCTTTCAGATCCGGGTGTATTGCTTAATGCCTTCAGTTTTTTGCTTGAATTAATAGTGTATTTCTTATATAAATAATTACTCTTTCCTGAATTTTCCTGTTAACATAGGTACATCAGAACAGCAATAGAATGGTGCAGAGGTTTGAATGAGAGGAAGGAGATTCCTGAATACACTGCACACTCTGTAACTGAAGGAAATTGGTATTCATTTTTATTCTAAATACTTGACTACAAATAATATTGAAAATAAAAACTCCAAAAGGCTGTGAATCTTATAGACTGCATTTCCTAAGGGTTAAAAAATGAAAAGTGTAAGCCCGTGTATTTTGTGCATTTTCATTTTTTTCTTTCAGTGTTTAAGATGTTAGGTAAATTGAGTTCTAGGTGAAGTTTTGTTTCATTGTGCTTCTGCCTGCCTTACTTAAAAGTCAGAATTATGGTGACATTGCTGAAGGAGGATTAGTGTTAGTGAGGTAGTATCAGTGAGGTGAAAAAGAGACACTAGACTACAAATGGCATCTTTTAACAGAACACCAAGCAGTTCAAAATAATACTTTGAACTGCTAAATGACACTTGTATCTCTTGCTAATATATTTGTCCTTTTTAATACATGCTCCTGACCAAAGGTCTACTGACGTCATATACGAAAATATAAGAGTATTAAAAAAGGTGTTAATTGAAATCGATTACACTTACACTTGTACTGTAAATTATAGCAGATTCAGTAGCTGATGAAATGAAAATTGTATCTATATTTATAATATATGCAGCAGAGAGACTATTCTTAGAGCAGTGCCCTGATTTTTGGAAACACAAATGTTTGACATGCAGTCATTGACTAGTGGTATGAAAGACAAAAATAAAGCATTTTTTTCACTTGGATTTTGCTCATCTAATTTTCAGTATTCAGAACCTATTAAAAATTAAAATGTGAAGTAGAGAATACATTTGAGAACCTTTTATGATACTAAATCATTTAATAATCTTTATTTTCTTGGACAGGTCTGCTGATGCTGAGCTCGAAAAAATACAGAGATTTACCTGTATCCTTTTGAAAGCTGTAAAGGTTTTCCACTTTTCTATTCTGCTGTCCATCTGCATATTCAAATTTGCATTTTAGATCATCAAAGTTTCTCTATCCTGTTCTCACTTTCTTCTGCCGTTTTACCCACATCTTAAAATTTCCTTTTTAAGGCATTATTTGTTTTCTTATTTATCATTTTTGTTTGATTGTTTATCTTGTCCAATTCCTGCAGCACAGCACCAGAAACAAAAAATCACCAAAAAAGGAAGCCCTTTGATGGGTATTGCATAAGTTTTGCTAACACTCATCTGCTGATCCGCTTTTGAAAGAGCGATGATGCGGTTGCCTTTGGGCTTGCTGTTGCAGTACAATACCTTTCTGTTTATCAGCTACCTCAGTATTGTTTCACTGGGTTCAGAGAGCTCAAAAAATTGTGGTGCTCTGCATGTGCTTAAAGCCACTCCATAATAGTCTTTAAGCCAGTGTTTGATTTTACTAGTATTAAACGTGCATGTTGTTTAACCATGCAGTGTAACATCAGATACTTTCCTTTTTAAAGCAACTTTTGGATAAACTGAAGTCTTGGAGACATTTTCTATAAATGTTGTAGACATTTTAAGAAATGCACTCTTGTCTTTTTTAGCTTTATGTAATTACCATGCTATGAAATGTGAAACTTTGCCATGCAGAATGATGAGTACAAATATGGAGAAGTATTTTTCTCATTAGGAAGAAGAGATTGATACTTTTTTTTTTCTTAACAAAATAATGCTAGTTTTATTGGATAATACCAATGTTCTGGAAGGGACATCTGCTGCAAAACCCAATCCATCTGGTATTACTGTCAGAAAAACAGAAAACGGGAGCGAGATGGAAGCAATCAGTGAAGCCTGCGTCTTGGAGGCTTTGGAGAAAACTTCTAAAGCAATTCAGGATATTGAGTCTCTGCTTGCAGCTGCTGGGAAGTGAAGCCTCACCACGTACCATGTGAAGACCTGTGTCCCTGCCTTTTGTGGGAGCTGCCCTGGCTGTGGCCGAGGAGGCTCCGAGGTGAAGGCGGAGGGATGAGCTGCCATTCCAACACCACAGCAGGACCACACGAAGTCTTAGGATGCTGCGGTTGCGTATTGTGGACAGGCAAGAAGAACAGGTGAAACAATCGATACATCAGTGCTGACCTGACAACGCTGCTTTTAGGTGTAGGAATGCCTTTGTCTGGATGGATTGATTTTGCAGAGGATTCTGCACGCCACTCGCTCTGCTTAAGTGACTAGGGCCGGGGACACGCGGTTTTAACTGTAAAAACGTGCTTTTATTCAGAAACTGACACCAAGTGCCGAATAAAATGTTTTTCATAACGCGTTCTACTCCGTTCTATTTCTACTCTATGCGTTCTGTGGTAAATAAATATTTATTTCGACCCTCTTCAGCCCTTCCTGGTGCGTGGTCTGGCGCACCGCATCTTTAGTGATTAAAATGCCGGCCTTTTACCGTTGGTTTCTCTTCCAGCGGCTTATTTAATTCCATTGTGAATACCCAACCTCTTTTTTTAATGTTTCTAGAATTTTTTTTACCTCAGAACCGAGCCCCTCTCCCCTCACAGCAGGCGCGGAGAGGAAAGGGGCGAGGCGGCTCCCCCTCAGCCGCGGCGCTTTCCCAGCCTGCTCCGCGGCCACGCATGCCCGCTGAGGGAACCGGGGCGGGCGGCTCCACTTCACCTCATGGGGCGGAGAAGGAGGCGACCGGCGGCGGCGGCCGCCCTTCAGGTGGGAGCGGAGGGCGGCGGGGAGGGGACGGGAGAAGGGGACAACGGCGGCGGTGGGCGGCTTCCCGCCTCCGCGGGGTGAGGGGGGCTGCCGAACGGCAGCCCCCCTCACCCCGCGGAGGCGGGAAGCCGCCCGCCGCCGCCCGGGCCGGGCTTCTCCTCACGAAGATGACAGTACGTTTTTATTTCTTAGCGAGGGAAAGAGGTGGCCTCAAGGCATAAAAATTGTGTTGCCCGTCCCTGATTTTTTTTTTTTTATTTTGTATTTTTTTACCGCTTTTGTCTGCCGCCCGGCTCTCTTGCCGTCCTCCCTCTTGTGAGTCCCACACGCTGGTTCTGTTTTAACCTTAAATTGCATTAGCTGTTTATGATCCGGATGCCGTTGTGGTTAATGAGGGTAGTAGGTAAACTGCTCCAGCTTTTTTTCCCCTTCCTTCTTTTTGTTTGTCCAGGGTGACAAATGATTTTTTTAATTTTTTTTTTTTACTTTCACTGGATAGTGTTCTGTTCTGCTTCCGAATACTATTTCTTTCAACTCTTTCTGTTTTGTTTTGCTTTTTTTTGTGGGTTTTATTATTTTTTTTCTTCTACCGGGTTGTACTTTGTTCTAATTACTAAAATATTGTTAGGCTATTTCCTTCAACTCTTTCTTTTAGGTAGACATCTCGGTTCCAAAGTTAAGCAGAAGATCTGTATTCTGGTGTATCTGCATTTTGGTATCTCTTGTAAAAAGCTTTAATTTATGGTCTCCGATGTAAACAATTTAATTAAAGGGCACTTTATTTGTTTAATTTCCTTGTGGCTTTAACTCATTCTGTTCCTCAATATCTTGGTAAAATACCTACCGATTTCTTGCATGCTTTTGTCCTCTTTCCTCCTCAGCCTCCTTCCACCCTCCAACCTCAATAATGCTTTATAATTATCTGACCAAAAAATTATTTGCACTGTCAGTTCTTCATAGATTTTTTTAGGCTTGGATCTGCTTTTCCATAAAGTAATAAATTGAAGGTTTGAGCTGATGTCTTAAATGGTCATTGTACTTCCTAGAGTTTTTTGTATAAATTAACATCTAATATCAAATAATGTTTTTTTAGGAGTTTATAGTTATAATGGACTACTGTGATCTTTTGACTTCTTGCATAAAGTGCATAATTCTACTAATTTTGTGCGTTACGTTCCTGTATGTATTCACGTACCCAGTAACTTCCTGCAAAATTGGGACAACAATTTTGGACAGCAGTATTTCTAAATGATAATTTTGGCCAGTGGATTTTTGTTTTACACTTACAGCATGAGTTGAAAGGCCTCTTAGTGTCAGCTATTTCCCCAAATGCTTATTTACAGCTTTGATCTAAATTTTTTCTTCCATCAGTAATTTACAAGGTTAACTGTGTGTTTGTTAAAATGTTTTTTATAATTTCCTTGAATGAAATTAAATACATCAGTAAAATTGCGTTTTGTGGGTGTAGGCTGAGAATATGCATAATGTTTTATCTTGTATAGAAGTGTCGCAAGGAATCACAACTCTCAGCAGTGTTACTCTGTCAGCTGTTCTGTGCATGTGTTTTATGTAAACCCAACCTAAATCTTTCCTTCAGTGCCTTAACTGGACTGACAACCCGTAGGTTTCTAAGCATTCTTGTGTAATGCATCTGTCTCCCACTGTTCTGACAAAAATGTAAGCCCTGCAACTGTGCTTTCTGAGATTTGTAGGACAGAAAAACCTATGACACTTTATTGTGATAATTTCTAAACAGTCTGAAAATGGTTATTTTTCAGAAAAAAAATACAGTTTCTAGTTTTATGTTAAAAATGTTAATTTCAGAGATTATTTTGGTTTAACGGAGTTTTCTTTTTTCTAGTCTGATTTTACTCTTGATCTGCAGAATATTTATACTGATGCCATTGTACCTGGGAATGTGACTTGGTTTTTCAATGGGCAGCACTCGTTTTTGTCTATAAAAGACAGCAGAGACAGATTGTTTAAAAAGAATAGTTATGCCATGAGCATGGCTCTTCACTAAGGGTAATCTGAAGCCCCATTTGTGCTTTCTGCTCTTCGTCCTCGCTCAAAAACACCCACTCCCATGTTGTCCTTGTTTTCCAGTTGGCATTGTTACCTGTGTTTCATGATACATAGTTCTTATATCATACTTATTTTGGGTTTTACTTCTCCCATGTACTTCATGTAGATGTTAATAATTTTCATCACAAAGCAGTGTAAGCCTACCACAGAACTGACAGGGGCCTCTGTTGCTATTTGAATGTATAGGTCTCTGTTTGTTTATTCCAAGGGCACTAATTGATGTGATGAAATTAAAGAGAGATCCCTGAATTTGACTCATAAATGTTTAATTAGGTGGGAATCATTCAGGCACAGAGATACAAGGAAAAATCTGTTAAAATAGATATCTGTGTATTTTGAAATGCAACTGCTTGGAAGGCTGGAGGTACCCTTCTCTGACTTTATGACATTGAGTTTTATTATCTTTTAATTATTGCCTTGTTCCGTCTTTATTTGTGCTCCTCGCTTGTTTTATGGTCTTTTTTTCCTGCTAGCTGAAATTGCATCTCGTTCAGTTGTTTTTGTGCAGGACTTCTTAAAAATTCTTTCCTTTTTTTTTTTTTTTTTACTATTATTCAGTTTTCAGGTATGTTTTGTAGAGAGTTTGAAGAGCTTTGTTTATTATCAGTGCTTATTGCTGCCTGGTTTGATTTCTTCAGGATGGAACAAGTGGTGTTGGGTCTCTCCTGCACTGGACTGGGCAGACTGGATTCAGAAAGGACAGAGCCTCAACGCTGAGGCATAGACCGTGTTTGCTACTGGAATAAGGCAACTGCAGTGGAAAATACATGTTCTCCTAGTCCCAGGGTGAGTTCGATCTTGAATACTGGTGTGCTTTTGAAAGGTGTGTTGCTACATCAGCCCCTCAGACTGGATTCTTAAACAGCTTTTATGGTAATTTTAAATAAAATCCAGTCTGACATGATGGTTTTATAGAAGAAACGTTTGTGAGGAGATCACCATTTGTTCCTTAAAACGGAATTTGTTTAGAAATGTACTGTATATTGTAAAGTCATCCACCAGAAAGTGGCAGTGCCAGTGTTTCAGAAAATATTTTGTGTGTACATGTTCATTCAGAAGAGGCATGGTCACGGTTAACAGACTCTAAGCTTGACCCACTTTTTTTCATCTGTGTGCAAACTCTATGTATTATTCATGCTTTCTTCTCTTTTTTTTTTTTTTTTTTTTTAACATCTTCCAAATAAATGATTCAGTGGGCTTTTTTTTCTATAAAGTTCAGTGCCAGTAGTCATGTCTGTGGATAATTCTACAATAAACAGGCATGTCAATAATCTAGAAGAAGAATTTTATATTTTCTGGGGCTTGTAATCAATAATGTGTTTAAAATTGTAAACTATTATGTGTCAACATTGTTAGAACTATTAATTTTTAGAGGAAGTCTAGTATATTCATAAAAAAACCCATTTAGAATAAAAATTTACTTGATAGACCTGTATGAAGAAGGATTATCAAGATTAAATGACTGGCACAGAGATAGCAACCTCCTGGGGAAGAATCCATTAGACAGAATGTAGGTTTTGAGACTGTGGTCTATCTCCATGGCTCCCCAAAAAGACAGAAGAGTCTAACGGTTGAGACGGTTAGAATTGATACTGTCCTTCAAAGACTGCTTCTCAGTGTGTTTAACATAATGAAGCTAGGGAATACATAATATATATGGGGATTTTTATTTCAAAAGTGTTCTTTATAATGTTATCGCAGAAGTCTGGGTATTCTATAATTTCTTCTTGCGAGTGGGTTCAGGTGTCTTGAGGATCTTGAATTATTTTGGGAATTTCTTTTGAGGTCTGAAGCAGTTATTTAAGGGTGGTAATTATTCCCAAGAAATCACCTTGTACAAGAGGGTTTCACAACAATTACAGAGCGTAAATAGTTTTTAAGGAGTTTTAAGCAATTGTTAATGTTAATAACAATGCCTTTACTTTTGAGCTACAGCGGTCAACTTTTGAAAAGTAAAATGACCGGGATTTGTTAATTTTCTTTTTTTTTTTTCTGCAAAAAGAGCTGTTATGAAGGCAGTGTGGCAGACAATAGACAAGTGCTGAAAATAACAGCAGAGTTTGCTGCTGGAGCACATACTGAGGAAAAGAACATGTATGTAGTTTTATAAGGAGTTAGTTTTGGTTACTTCTTGACTGAATGGCTGTTGTCTTTCTGTTTAAAATAGTTAAGATACTGTGATGGTGCCTGTTTTTCTTAATACGTATTCTACGTGCCAAGCTGAACAAGGAGTTGCTCAAAGAGGAGTGCCAGGGTGATAACACGTTTACAAAGTATGTAAATGAAAGTTGTGCTTTGGATGATAGATTAGAAGCTCAGTTTTAACAGTTGCATAGAGAGATTTGGAATTCTTGACCATCACTCCGAAGAGTCCTCCAAATTGATTTTTTTGCTGTTGTTACAGTGTAAGGGATTTAATTTGATGAATGTCACGTATTTAAGACCAGGAGGAAGCTTGAACCATATTCAATGTATTATCATAGGCATGTTTGAAAATATTTTGTAAAATTTAAGATTTCAGGAAGATAATTAGAGCTTTCCATGGTACAAAGGTGCTTGTTCTAATTAAAACAGAACAAGTGTTTTAATTCAGAGCTGTAGTGTTCAAGTAAAAGATTAATTTAATTGAAATAAAAAATTCCCTAGGAATATTAAGTGCAAGCATTGAATTTGGGCTTTTTTTTGTGCTAAGTTGTCGCTGTGATAACAAATGCTTTGTGCTAATGGATTTTTTTCTTTACTATTTTTTTTGTGTTCTTTGACATTTACAGAATAACTGACGGTACAAAGGACAATGCACAGTGTAGATCCTGATGACATTTTGTGTGCTGTGACATGGTTTTTGCCATGGCATCTGAGACTGACAAGGCCCACGCTCTTCTCCAAACTTTCAGCACAGCTTCAGTTATTTCTAGTCTAGGTTTGGGGATATTCTGCTTTGTAGCAGACAGACTTCTGCAGTTTTCCTTCATTCAGCAAAATGACTGGCTCCGAGCCTTCTCTGATAACGCAGTACACGGCATACTGGGAATGTGGTCCTGGGCAATAGTGATTGGACTCAGGAAGAAAAGCGACTTCACTGAGGTCACTCTGGCTGGTTTCCTTGCCTCTGTCATTGATGTGGACCACTTCTTTCATGCTGGCTCCCTGTCATTAAAGGTAAGTCAATAGATCAGTGATAGTTTATTTTCTTTCTTAATCACTGTTTACTTTGTTGTTCTATCATATCCTAAACAGAAAAAGTTCCAATGATGCTTTAACTAGATACATTTTAAATAGATACATGGGAATTGTATTTGTATGCAATTGTTAGGATTTTGAAAGCCCATTCTGCTCCTTACAAGGCTTTGAAAGAAGAGTTCTGAAAGCCTTCGTAAATGCTATCCTATGTGTATCACAAAGTTGCTTTGTTAAACAATTAAGTGCTGCCATGCATGCTTTTTATATAAAGTGGATTATTCCACTTCTGTTTACAATAAGGGGTAGAAATATCTGGAAAGTAGATAATCTAGCTGCTGTTTGATATCATTCACTCTTCCTGAGTAGTACCTTTGGCTTTAGCCAGCCCTAAATCTCTCTCCCACAAACAAGCTATATATGAGCTGTCAACTTTAAAAAGGCAGTCTGAGTTTGCCCTTAGATAAAAAAAAATAATAATAAAGCAAGTGTTCAACTTGTGAATGAACACAAAAAGGTGATTTGGGTCTTGTTAAGGAATCTGTGTGATGGTCATCCATTTGCAGGACAGAGTTTCTGAACAGGATTAGTACTACCAGATAATAGCATTCTTTTTCACTGATTCTCCAGTGGATTATATGTGTCCTGTTCCCACTTCCCCATTTCCACTCTTGTATGTGTATCCCTGCCTTCTTGCCCGCTCGAAATGCGTGCACCCAGCTTTCACTGACCACAACAGTCTCTTCTGTATGGTCTCCAAAACGTTTGCACTTTCTGTAAGCTCCAGCTATGCCAGCCCTGGCCACAGTTCTCTTAGCTGGGCCCTCCAGATCTCACATCTCAGGCAGACACTCCTTGGCCCCAGTTACCTCCTGGTCCCCATCGCTACAGCCCTGCCCCTCTGCTTGTTATCGAGGGTGTGCTCTGCTCAGCAACACAAGTCCTCACAGTTTGATTATGCTGGTGTTGCCAGCATACATGTACATGCATTCTACTTACCCCCGTCTCCCAAAAAATGTACACCTCCTCCTATGGATGGGCCTGCACAGGGAGAAGGGGAAGATACTGACCTTTTTCCATTCAATGAGAGAGTAACGGAAGTTGTTTGACCATCTCAGCTTCTTTCTCCTCCTCCAGTTTGCTTGTAATGACAGAGGAAATAGCTTCTAGGAAGCACAGGAAGGAAGGAGGTGGAGGGAAAATTGCTGTTCCTTGTAATTCTTTAATTAAAGAAGAGCAATGCAAAATGGTTTACCTTTTTTTTTTTTTTTTTTAAATATGCAGGAGACAGCTAAGTGCAAGAAGCATTGCTTATAGTTAAGATGTAAAAATCAGACTTCCAATGGGAAAATAATTTTTGTTTACGTACAATATCACTACTGGTTGTAATGAAAAGATGTTTTCCAATTTGTGCATTTGGTCAGTTTCCCCCTTATATTTGTCTTTGACAAAGAGGGTATTTTCACAAAATCATAGGGTGGTTGCAGTTGAAAGGGTCTTCTGGACGTCATCTTCTCAATCCCCCCTGTTGCAGCAGGCTCGCCTGCAGCCAGTTGCTCGGGATCGCATCCAGAGAACTTTTGTGTGTCTCCTTGGGTGTAGACTCCACAACCTCTCTGGGCAACCTGCTCCCATGCGCTGTCACCATCACAGTGGAAGTGTGTTTCCCTCCATTCAGGAAGAACCTCCTGTGTTTCAGTCTGTGCCTGTTGTCTCTTGCCCTGTCAGTGTGCACCACTGTAAAGAGCCTGGCTCTGTCTCTTTACACCCTCCCTTCAGATACTGGTATGTCTTCATGAGAGCTCTCTTGACCCTTCTCTAGGCTGCACAGTCCATCCTTTCCTCATACACAAGATGCTCCAGTCCCTTCATGATCTTAGTGGCCCTTCTTGGACTCAATCTGCAGTAGCTCCATGCCTCTCTCATAGCGGGGAGCCCAAAACTGGAGTCAGCACTCCGGGGGTGGCCTTACCAGTGCTGAGAAAGAGAAGGAACACCTCCTTCAACCTCCTGGCAACACTCCTAGTGCAGCCCAGGATACCACTGGCCACCTTGGCCACAAGGTCACGTTGCTGGCCGATATTCAGCTTGTTATTCAAGTTGATCCTTAAAACTGTTTTCCAACCCGTCAGCTTCCAGCATGTACTGGTGGCTGGCATTGTTCCTCCTTGGGTAGTCCCTAGTTCTCCCCTTTTCTGTATCTTTTTGCATATGTAAATACTGTAAAATTATAGAACTATATAAAGAAAAGGAAGGTTGATTAGTGAGTCCTGTAATACTAACATTTGGTACAGCATTTAAATTTGTAATTATTCTCATGCATATTTTCTTATTTTAAAATCAGAAAATGCAAGTAATGCGTGGCTAGTTATTATAAACTAGTGTTAACATTTTATTGCTGCTTTTTCTTGCATTTGAGATTACCAGAATTTTTTCTTAATTATGACCGCTAGATGACACTCTTCACCAACATCTGTTTAGAAAGCTGAGTATTGTATTGTGTCATAGACTTGGGAGGTCACCTGTCTGTTGACTGCCTTCAGTGAGGCCAGGTTAAATATGCTTACACTTTCCATGATGGAGAACATTTGTGTAGCCTAGCTGTAGTATCCCAAACACAGCAAATTATTGCAATTTCATGACTTGTTTCACTTCCCCAGTTGCTAGCAATTGTTTTTCTAATATCCAGCCAGTATTGTTGTTGGCAGTTAGATCTTATTTTCTTATTTTGTTCAGGCCTCTCCGCAAAAGAGAGCTGATGGCTGCGGTCTCCCCAAAAGCCTTTTTCAGTTCAGAAATACAAGATGTTGCAGGTAGAAAAATAGGCCTTTAGTAACCAAACTACTAGGAGAAGACAAGATGCCCAAAGTCTTTCTCATAGTTCTTTGCCTGCAAAGTCCCCCCGCCTTCCATATGTTAGCTGAGCTAATAAAGGATGTTTAGCTGTAAATCGTATCCTGTGTTGGTCTCTTGACCTTTAGAGCAGTAACAGCATTACTCTTACAACTTGCAAAACCATTATGCTTTACAAAAAGTCTCTTCTTGACTAAATAAATTGCAAAAACATCCGAGGGGCCTGCATTCATGTTTCTATTTTTCTTGGGGCCTCTGGGTTGCTAAATTATCTTTGAAGTGTCCTGCCCCGAACTGTGTATAGTATGTTAGGTGAGACTTCATGTGAGCCAAACAGCACAGATTAATTCCTTTTAACGTCACATGCATGCAATACTTCTGTCTTTCTAAAAGGAAAAAAAAAAAAAATCTGTGGCAGGTTTCATGTCTCCTTGCAATGCCATCAGCGTCTTTTTAGTTTGTGATACAATGTAATCCCTATAAATTTCTCAGCTGTGATGTTGCTTGGCTAGCTAGACCTGATTTTACTGTGTGATTTTGCTTTCCTCAGCTTAATATGATGCACCTTTCAGTTTCATGTTGCAATTTCAGGCTGTTGCCTATGTAGTTTTATTACTTTGTGGGATTCCTTTTTACTACGTATTTGTTGCAGCTATGTTTGTCCTCTTTAGATTGCAGGATTTAAAGTAACTGATTTAAGAGACTACAATGTGTACTGCTTATGCAACGCAGTACTACGTAACTAATAAATTAACCACACCACTGTTACTAATTTGTAACAATAGTATTTTTCATATTCCTCAACACAATTATCTATAAAGCTTTTCATCATCACTCTTAAATCTGCTGACAAGCTCCTTTTTTGAAGTAACCCTTCTGTGAAGCACAAGGCAGTATTGCTTTCTACCAGCAGTTGCTACATTCACACTCCTGCAGTCACCTACTCCTGTTCCTGCTGACACAGCTCGCTGCTTGGACTATTTGGGTATTGGGCTGTTTTTCACAGTGTCATCATTATTCTTCTGGAGTATTCAGGGTAAATAGTCACCTGTGGTATTGATATTTACTCTGATAAATACTTGTGTGCCAAGTAGCATGTGATCTGCCCTTTTGCCCACATTATTTTTGCAACAAGTATAAAGTCTACCAAGACTTTGCTACTTTGAATTCATAGTTCTTTGTATGCCGTGCAGTTTTTGCTGTGTATTATATGCACACAAACATAGAAGAATGTAGGAACCCGTGTTGGAAGAATCTGTCTCATTGACCACCTCTAAAGGTAAAAGTTGCTGCAGCCTGTCGTCATACTCAGCATTGCTGATAAATAGGAACAGCACGATGTGCTGCTTCTGGTGTCCCACAGGACTGTAGCCCAAAGGCTCATGTTGCAGAACAGACGTGCAGAAATTGCTAGCTTGCTACTTAAAACTCACCAGCTTCTAAAAGTGTAGAGGATGCAGCCAGTGGCAAACAAGACTGTACCAGCAAACATACATAACACAGCTGGTTAACGTGCCACTGCTGACCAACCTGGGCTGCACAGGAGCATTTCTGGAACTGGAGAATAAGCTTTGCGCAGACACAATTATTTTACCATTGAATTTATAGATCGGCCTCAAAACTAAGGACTTCAGGCTTGAGAAGCATCACAAAATATGAGTGAGGGAGCCTGTGGTTTTATGTAAATTCCAAGTTGTCACTTTGAGCATTAAAGCGAAAAGTTTGCTTGCAGCCTTCTGCATGTGGTTGTTCTCTCCTGTCTCCAGCTGCTCGTTGTAGTGTGTGAGAGGGGCTGGAGGAGCAGGAACTTCAAGAAGATCTTGCACCTGATTGAACATGTAGGGAAGGTAATTTGTGTTGTAAATAAATCCTGTTTGCAACAGCAGCCTGATCTCTCTGATGGTAGACTTTCTCCTAAACCTACCCAAATCATGATCATATTTTTCCAGGGGACTTAAAGCAGAAAAGGCTTGTACTTGTTTTTGGTTTTTTTTTTTTTTTTTCTGGTTAAGATCTGGTGGTTTCTAAAGCGGAACAAATTTGCCTGTTAGGAGAAAGAGCTTATACTACCAAATAGAACTATGTGTCTGTCTCTTGGGCTTGACAACTCAAAGATGTAGATGTTCATCCAGTTACAGAATGTAAAAGAGAACACAGAGTATTATTCTCTCAGAACTTGGGCAACAGCATTTTAGGAGCCTAATGACTGTACTGCAATTATAAAACAGGGTTTTCTTTTGCTAAAATTGAGTGCTCAGGTTTGCTGAGCATATGTGCCAAAATGTATCACCATCCAGGATGGTTTATCAAAATTAGGCTAGTATGAACTTCTTAGGCTCTTGCTGACAGTAACAACAAATCTGATTATCTTTGTAGGGTAGGTGATAAAAAATTTCACCATCTAAGATTTCTCTGCTTTAATCTGTGAACAATCTGCTTGTATGAAACAGAAATGAAGTTCTAGAAAATATACGCTCTGCACCAATTTAAGGATTTGAGTCCATGCCTATTACAGTTAAAAATTGTTAAGACAGTTTGTGAGCTTTTTAATCCCTTCGCCTGATTGAGAGGGTCACAGACAAGCACATGATGAGAGGCTAATAGATCAGGGCTTTCTGCAAGCCTTTTAATGTTGGCGTTGGTTTAAAGCACAGACTGTTATATTCCAAGGTAGCCCATAAGTTTCCATCTCTGTATTTCTTGGCGAAGGCTACATCAAAGCTTCCTTACAGAGAAGACAGGGTTTCAAGCAGTTGTCTAAATTATCCATGAAAACTTGATGAAGCTATTCCAGAGTCATCCTGTCAGGTGCCATAGCAGTTGAATCCTGCAACAATTAACACAGCTGAAGCATTAATGGGTTACTGGCTCATGCCTTGTCCTGGTGTTTTGTTTGCTTTCTGCAGTGGATGCAGAGAGGGATGTGTTCAACATAACAATCAGATGCACTGTCCTGTGCAAAGGGTACATCTCTGGTGCCTGTTGCAGTCTTTCCAGATGTTCACCAGTATCTTACTTGAACCAATTAATATTACTTCAGCATCTCTATAGGTCTTTTAGTAATGTGTCCGAGCTTACAGAAACAAGAGTCTACTTATTTGTTGCTTTGAAATCTGAATTTATTTTTTTTTTTACTATCTTTTAATTTGTGGAGGTAGTTCTAGCTGTTTCTGGTAAGTACATCCAGAATATAGTGTCAAGTATGTATATTAAATTCATAGCTATCACTTCTTAAAATGCCTAAATTTAATCTCAGTGTCTAGACATTCATCTTAATTAAAATAAAATGTCAGGCTTTCAACTGAGGTAACGTTGAACAAGTTAAAAACTTCAGTCACAAATGATTCATATGTTGGCTTCAGAACTTGTCTTTTGCCTGTCCATAAAGAATACTGTGTCAAGGCAATCAAAATGCATCTAACTTAGATGATATTTCTTTTGTATTGGAAATTACTGTTCTGTTTTAGATATTGCCCAACTAAAACAACTTCATGAGTGCTAGCTGTAGTATGGTACAGGATGTATTTTTGAAAGAAAATGCTATTAAAATATGTGAAATGTTTCAAGTAAAGCATATTAAATATTCCAAATGCATTGCATGGTTCCTTTCTTTTTAATCATCTTGAAATTAAATACATATAGTCAGTGCAGCAGACTATACAAGTTCCTCTGTACCACATGACTGTATGACAAATAACATGCCTCATCCCTCTCCCTCCTGGTTTTGCTGTCAGTGGTCTTTAGCAGGACGCATGATTCATATCACACAGTAGAGAGACAGGGCAGCACGCAGCTCTCGACAGCTAAATAGTCGTACTGTTGATTTTGATCAACTACAGTGGGAAGGAACAGTATATTTTTCTTTGCACTTCCATTTAGTGGCTTGATAATACACTTGTAAACATCCATGAAATGTTTCCTGTCACGATTGTAGCCATTGCCAATTATATTTTTCTTTTCTGCAGGCTGCTCTGACTCTTCCACAGAGACCACTTCTTCATTGTTCTACTGTGATTCCTGTTGTGGCTCTGACATTAAAGTTTATTATGCACCTTTTCAGGCTTAAGGATTCGTGGTGCTTTCTTCCCTGGATGTTGTTTATATCCTGGACTTCTCATCATGTCCGTGACGGGATTCGTCATGGCCTTTGGATCTGCCCATTTGGAAAAACTCCTCCGTTGCCATATTGGCTGTATGTGGCAATTACAGCGTCTTTACCTCATCTGTGTTCATTTATTATGTATTTAACAGGCACTAGAGAATTAATGTCCATAAAACATGGAATCCGCATTGATGTGTAAGAATGATGGCTCTTAAAGGATGTTTGTATTAGCACTTGAAACGTGCTGTCTGTTTATCACTGAAATGGTTTCCTTATGTTTTCTACAACTTCTGAGTCAGGCCTTTTAAGCCTGTGGAGCCAACTATAGCTCCTTTGTCAGTTCCTTGCAGTCATAGAAACCCATGTAATGAATGGTAATAAATTTATACCTATACATTCCCCTTGTAAAACTTGTGGTCTTCCATTATAGTTCATGCATAGCTAGCTGATTTATAAAGCACTTAGTCTCTCTCTGTAGTAATTACATTACATTTTACTGTCACGGTACTGTTCATGTCATCACCATTCACTTGGGATTTGTATTCTGCCTATAGGTAATACATTTCCTCTAGACAGGATTTGTATAGCACTTTAAAAATGTAAAGTACTATATAAATGCTAAGTATTAGTGAGAATTTAGTAGTGTATGGCACTTCCAAAAGGTATCAGTTAGCCTTTTAAATTTATTTATTTGTTTTCCTGCTGGACTCTTGTATTCAACTGTTTGAAAAGAAATGCTGTTTGTATTTCACAGTGTGCGGCTGTGTATCTGCACCTCTTTGAACACTGCTATCATATAGTGTTTCTACTAAATTCTATTCCTCTGTAGTTGCTTGGTGCTCAATTTGCAGATAGTTACTAGCTATTATTTGTGGTTATAAAGACAGTTTGGTTACAGTATTATGTGTCTTGGCCAAATTGTTGAATTTTTAAAATATAATAATTATTAATATTATTTAATTTGGAACTAAGGAATTTTAGTAAATAGTTAAGGATTGTGTAAAGGCAAATTTATTTATTACAGTAAAGCATAAGCTTTAGGAAAGATTCAGGAATTGCCCAAAATGTGAGTTTGCTTAAAGACCTTACTACTGTATTCATAAACAGGATTTTTAGTTAATAAGTGCACGATCATCTTTATTATTGGTAAAAAAAAAAAATGCATTAGTATTACGCAGAAATAGAAATTTCCTACTGAATAAGTTCCTTAAGGAAAAATGTTAATATGTTGCAGGTTTATAACATAATAATTTGCACTGTGGACTGTTCAAAGTAATAGTTTCCATTTACAGAAATTTCTCAGAAAAAGTCCCAACATAAAATTAAGCTCTTGTCTAGTTTGCAGTGTGCAAGCTGAGAAACATCTATTAATAACTGGGGATTTTTCGTTTTCCATTCATTGAACTCCATTGCCCATTAAGGAGACGGGGCCTTAATTATTCCAGGTTATGACAAATAGTTGTCAAAGGGGATTATTTTTATGGAAGAGCATATATAGGGTAGCATGTGCTGAACTTAAAGTTATCTGAGGGTGCAAAGATTAGGTGATGTGTTGATACTACATTTACGTTAGTAAATTTATATGAGTATAAAGTACAAAGAAATACAGAATATATTAATGGGGATGGCTGGCTGAATGGCTACCAGAGACCTTCTGTGGCTGCAAAGTCCTAAAGTCTCTCTGCCACACTGAGCTAATACAGAGGGTGTTTCACCCTTTTAAAATGTGCCTTCCCACAGTAAGAATCATCTTTGCTCTCTCTGTGCTTTGTGTTAGAAGTGCATGCCTATGGAAACTTGTCTTGGCAGTACAGTGGGCTTGTTTAGCCTTTATTTTAAAATGACTAAAGGGGTTTTTTTCTTAGAAAGAAGATTTGAAAAGCAGAACATTCCTTAAAGGATTCTCCTCATATTGTGGATTTCTGTCTTTTACAGTATGTAGAAGTTTCCCAGAAGAAGAAATGTCTTGCTGTAGAGTCCTCAGAGCAGGAACTGTCTTTTTTCCAAAGGCATGACAGCTTAGTACAGGAGGAGCGTTGCTCGTTCGTTTACTTCTAACCTGTATTTTAAACTATTGACTATGAGATGCCAATAACGAATATACTTTGTGCAAGAAGTGAACACTTAAATACGTGTAGAAAATTTTCTGTGTTCTTGATTAATGGTGTAATATTTGTATAATTTTGTGCTTTATTCAGGTTTGTTGCAAAGGGAAATGTATGTGGGAACAAAGTGGAGAATCACACTTCCTCATTTTTAGATTGTAGCTGTGGCATTTTTTGGTAACTCTATGTCCACCAACAGTCCTTATGATTGGTACTGTGCTGTTCTACCCATGTTTAAGGATCAGTTAATGGGTACGTCTTCTGTAGTTTAAAACCACTTATTTTCATTCCCTGTATTTCTAGCAATTTGCGTGGGGCTTTTTACAATAATTTTCAGCTGTATTTCAAATTATTATTTTTTTGGTCATGTTCTTACACCAACTCTGCCACAGCAGTAGGTGAACACTGCTTAGAAATGCACTAAGGAAAGCAGCAAGCACTTGTGGCACGTGGCTTCTCTCTCCCTCCAAGCAGACACGGCAGAGTCTCGTGCCTCCTCCTGACATTTAGGCAGCTTTAGCTCAGGTCATTGACAACTTTTCAAGGTGAACTGACCCGTTGCATGTAATGCTGTAATTTGTGGGTAGCCAGATTGAAGAACAAAGGAGAAGTTAGATATTTGTTTCAGGCCACGTCACCGAGGAGATGCACCTGCCTATTACAAATGAATTGCCTAATTTCATGTGTATTTCAAATATATTAATGTTTCCAACTATGCATTGATACCTGCCACGTGTAGCAAAATCATGGCAAAAATAAACCAAGATACTAAAACCACAATGAATTTGTGCTTTACTGCATGCATTACAATAAAAAGTAAATTTGAAATTAAAAAACCGTGTGAAATACACAAAAAATTGTAATAAACTCAAGCTAATCATTTCATGCACAATGCATGATACATATCACTAAATTATTAGTTAGTCCAGTGGTTCATTTATTATGCTAATCTAAACTTTTTCCATTTATTTTCAAGTTTTACTTGCATAGTTGAAGAAAGTGGGGGAGTTTTCTGGCTTAGTTTTTTCATTAGAACGGCGCTGCTTTTTTTTCCCACTTTAATGGATTGCTGTTGTAAAAAGTTGGTACTGGTAGTTGCCAAGTTGAAAGAAAAACTTTAGAATGTTTCTTCTCCCCAGTCTTCTAGAAATAAGATAAAATGTCCTCTTTAATTCCATAATAGTCTTAACATAAAGAGTGAACGCATTTCCTATCACTTTATATTCTAGTTTAAAATGTAATCTGTATTTTCACATGACTACTGGTACCACTTTTTTTCTACAATGGAGTATATTGTATCATGTGCCTTTAATTGATAAGTGAATTATTCATAATTGATGCCGTACTCCAAGGAAAATGCTGGTGAGTTTGAATTAAACTGAAATAATTTTAACAGCCAGGCCATTGGTATTAGCTTATTACCAGGAGAACATTTCTTTTGCTAATAGAAAAAAAGTTCCAGAAAGAGGGAGGTGGGGGAAGAGTTAAAAAGTCAGTATAAAGGAAATGTTAATACATAGTTAATTTTGAACATGTATTTTTATTCCATCAGCTACTGTCAGTACGAAGCTAAATGGTGAAATGCATCAGAAGAGTACATTTCTGTTTAAGTAGTTGAGCTAATCTAAATCCTATAAGTTATGTTTGAGAATTTATTCAAAGCAGAAGGAATTTTCTGTTTTGTTATACAGTATGGGCTTTGGTCAACTGGTAATTTTGAGTCCACAAGCTGGGTTTTGTTTCCCTGCTACAGGCAGACCTGGTGTTTAAACAAGGTAAGAGCTGTCAGGTTCAAGTACTGTTTGCATTCATTGCAAAAAAAACCCAATAGTAACACTTTTCCTCAAAATAATAAATTGATGCCTTCAGTTTGTTCTTACATTTCCTCAAATTTTACATCCTCTACATGGAATTATGAATTTGAATGCTGTATTGTAGAACTGTTTTCTGTCACTTCTGTGACACTTCTGTCACAAAGAGAATAATCAGCCACCAGAATAATCTCCCCAGGGAAGTGGTGGGTTCCCCAACATTGGACACTTTTAAGACTGAGCTGGACAGGGTGCTGGGCCTTCTTGTCTAGACTGTGCTTTTGCCAAGAAAGTCTGGACCAGATGATCCTTGAGGTTCCTTCCAACCTGGTACTCTATGATTCTGTGATAACATAAACCCACTGTTAAATAGTACTATATATGTATACACATATGGATGTCACACACTGATCTTTCATTCTGTGTTCATATAATCATTTCCCATTTCCTTACCCTGATTTTCTTGGGGTAAGGAGGAGTGTTTGTCTCAGTGAGTAGGAAACCTGGTAGGTGTGCTACTGCTTAGCAAAAATGTTCTAATGCAGTGTTAAGGAAATACTCAGAATATTGAAAACTAGAAAAGAAATACTGTATTCCTTTTGGTGGAAATGTTAAGTAGATTTCCAGGCAGTTTGTAAAAACAGATTTGTTTAACCAAAGCTAATTGACTGAAGACATTTGTATTGGTAAATACTGGTGAGCAATCTGTGTGAAAATGGCTTTGCATACTGAACTGATGGAGGGGTAATTGGCCAAATCAGGCTGTGTGCTGTTGCAATATCCACCACAGAGGCAACTGCTTTGTCTGAGCAGTGTTACTAATGACCCTGGAGCCTTCCTCGTGTTGCCAGGGGAATTCAATCTTAGTTTATTTCAGTTGGTTTTCCCCCTAAAAACTGCATAGCATTGAGTAAGCGTTCCTGGACTGGTGTGTGGTGGTAGCTGTGAGTTCTGGTGCAGTGACTGTGCTAAAGAAATGAAACCAAAAATATCAGAAATAACAATGGCGTAAGGAATTCACAAGGTTATGATGCTGCTAGTTTCACTTTTACATTTCAATTTAAATTGCTGATAGTCAAACAAAACAACTTCTTTTTATATATTACTGCCAACAGTTTGGAAAAAAATTTTGTGATCAGTGTTCTAAAAATATGAAGTGTTTCTGGGCCAAATGCATTCTCTACAATTCAAGTAATAAGGCTATATCAATATATTTTCAGCAATATCACCTATGTCTCTTTGTTCATTTACCTGTATATAATGGATGTCTTACTGTGGAAGCACAGTTGGCGCTTGGAGAGTTTTGATACAGAATACTGTAGCCAGCAAAGCTTTTTAGCATGAGTTATTTTTGTTTCACTAGTCTAGAGAGATCTTCCCTTCTTCTAAACATGTTTTGTTCATATGAAAGTTTGAGTGGTTTGCCAGCATCTTTTGGATGAATGTGCTGTATGCCTTGTACATCAAACACAAATAAACAAAACAAATGCACTTACAGCTTCATACCATAAAAATGTATGCACATGATTTATTTATATTTTTTTTTGCTCAAAGTGAAAACAATTTAACATGCTGTTGCATCTTCCGTGGTGCATCTTGCACTTACATGTCTATGTAAATGTTGACCGAGTGGTATTTCTGGTAATTTTATATGGCTGCAGATCCACCAGCAGTGCTTCATGCACTCTCCTGGTGCTTAACTTACCTCAGGTTGGGCGAAAAGTCGTCTTCTCCTTCGACGTACCTGGCCCAGATCGCTCAGCTGGGGTCAGGAGGCTGAACAGTAAGCATCTCCCTCATGGCAAACCATCCTCGAGTCCCTTTGTGCTCAGTGTGTAGCTACTCAGTCTGTTCAGTGGTGCTTAAAACGCGGCTTTATCTCTTCCTAAAAGTGGTGCCTGCCTCTGGTGTGCTGAGTTGGGTTCTGCTCACCACAGATTGTACGAACTAGATGGTAGCTGACTGAAATCGGAATAGTAGATTGGGCTTCTCTTCCTGTCATTCGCCATGATTTCCTGCTGCTGGAGAAGGAAGCTACCTCTTCAAGGGGTGTTTTATCCAGGAGATTCTTTGACATGTAGTGAAACACGAAAAAGTGAAACAACTAAAGGCAGCTCCCATGAGGCACTTAACATCGCTTCTAGACCGACATGATTCAGCAGAGGGGTGACGAGCTTTCTTAAATGAGTTGTAACTTTTAAAATGCAGAACAAACGCTTACTGTAAAATTAGACCATTTTCTTTCTCAAAATCTGTCCAAAGCCAGGAGTTTATCTTTAAAAGATTTAACAATTGCAGTTAGTATACTATCTATCATGGCTGAAATTTTCAGTGCTAAGTCTTTGCTTCGGTTTAGATTTCTTTGAAACACATAATTTGCTGTAGCTCCAGTGTATGGGGACTTGGACTAGCAACATGGAAGTGGTTAAAAGATTGCACCTCTTTCTCCCTTGCACGCTGACTTAGAAGAGGCTCTACTTGTGTATGCTACAGCAGAGGTTGTACTAGGTACTGTCAGTCTCTCTCTTAGTGGCAATATATAAAAGCTGATCACCTGTTACTGCATGGTAAATATTTATTGAAGTTAGAAACCTCTCATATTACTCCCCAGCGCTGTCATGGAGAAGTGGGATGGTACTTGCTGCTGCCACCTCCACACTCGGTGCAAAGAAGGAGCACTGCAGTGTTAGTTAAGGACAGCCATGGCTCCAGCACGTGGTGTGTGGGGCTCCATCCCTCAGCTGTTTCCATGGGTGTTAGAACCTGCTGCTGTTATGAGAAAACCCTCAGTTTCAAAAAAAAGAGTTTTTTCCCAATGGTCTTGTTGAATGACCAAACTTCTTTAAAACTCTTTTCAGAAAAGAAAAACAGTTTGGCTGTGACTTGGTTTACAAGAAAGTATATTCCAGCTGTCTATTTCAAGGGGATGAATGTTGGCACATTTCTCTGGTTCTCTGTTGCCTGGATTAGCTCCGCAAAAAAGGCAGTGTATTCTTAGTCATCAAGAGTGTGTTTTCCCTCTTTACAGTGAATGGGTTTGAAATCACTGAGTACAACTTTTTTGCCTTTGGCACTTGTTCACAAACATTCACCAAAGGGCCACAAAGATGATCAGAGGGCTGGAGCACCTCTGCTATGAGGACAGGCTGAGAGAGCTGGGGTTGTTCAGCCTGGAGAAGAGAAGGCTCTGGGGAGACCTTATAGTGGCCTTCCAGTACTCAAAGGGGCCTACAGGAGAGATGGGGAGGGACTCTTCAGCAGGGAGTGCAGCGACAGGACAAGGGGTAACAGTTTTAAACTGAAAGAGGGAAGATTTAGATTAGATCTCAGGAAGAAATTCTTTACAGTGAGGGTGGGGAGACACTGGAACAGGTTGTCCAGAAAAGCTGTGGATGCCCCATCACTGGAGGTGTTCAAGGCCAGGCTGGATGGGGCTTTGAGCAACCTGGTCTGGTGGGAGGTGTCCCTGCCCCTGGCAGGGGGGTTGGAACTTGATGATCTTTGAGTCCCTTTCCAAACCAAACCATTCTGATTCTATGATTCTATCATGGTTACGAAAGGTATTAATTCAAAGATGGAAAATGCTTCAGAGGAGGCATGCACTGAGCATTTCATCAGAGTCTTACACAGCAGACTGTAGACACATCTCCCCAGAAGGCAGCAGCTGATATCTTAAAACAGACTATTGGAAAATAGAGCATTGAAGACAGAGTTGCTTTGCTCTGGCACTCTTCTTCCTCCAGTTATCCCTCCCTGCTAGCTTGCAGAAGGGAGGGCCTTTTAGCAGCTTGTTCACATGGCCACGGCGTGTGCAAGTTCTCTAAGGTGACAGGAAAGAGGAAAGGTTTTGGGTGTGCAGGTGAAGGTGAGCTGCAGGGCCACATCCCAATGCGCTGTTGCGGAGCGGGTGGTGGTATGCGACACCAGCCGGGGAGCATTGCTCAGAAGGATTACTATTGATTGAAGGCAGAGAATGCGTTATTCCCCTGGCGCTGGGGATATTTCCTTATGCCGAGATATGATTCCAGTTTCCCTGGCAGGAGTCACTTTATTGATGGAGATAAAAGCTTTAGTTTTCAGTTGAGATTCAGCTGATTTGGCACAT